TGAATATGTGCAGAGACTTATGACGCGGTGTATCGATGTATTCGATCGAAGCCAAGAAGAAAGCTCATAGCTCTAGCCAGGCAGCTGTTCATCATCATTCTGTTTCCAAATCAGATTCACATACAGATGTCCTGAACGAAGAAAGATATCAAAACGAGATGGTTTTTGGCAGTTCCCGTGAGAGAGAGACTCTTGGCTAATGCCTTCTGAAGGTAGGTCATGATGCTGGGAGAAAAAAAAAAAAAAACAAAAACAATAACAAAAACGCACACACAAGGAAGAGAAATTTCGCAGTTCCCTCCTCTCAATCACGCTCTCTCTCTCTCTCTCTCTGTTTCTCTGTCTCTGGCTCACTCTCTTTTCTGTTGCTGCTGCTGCTACTACTGCTGACTGTTTGTGTTGGCCAAATAAAAGCTGGCAAACAGAAAATGTTCAATTAAATCAAACAGAAATGTCCCCACAGTAAATAGCCACGCCCCCACACCCGCATTAAAGGCGTTATGGCAAACAATTTGCCGCAGTTTTAGTGCAAATTGCTGGGAACTAAAAGCAAACACTGTCTGGATTTTTGCATTTCTCGCTGTGAGAAATTGTGAGAAGAAAGCAGGCAGTTTAGGCCTATACAAATCAGGCCCAAAACTGGCCAAAAAAAGATATATATATATATATATATGAAATGAAGGCCCCAAGAAGACGACAACGGTACATTTTTGGCCAAACAGCCGTAATACAACAGGCAAACAGACAATCGACAACGCAGCTCGACAACTTTTTAATTGCCCTCAAAAATATAAAAAAAAAAAAAAAAAAAAAAAAAACGAGGCACTTTTAGAGGGGGCAGCAGATCGTAGACGGGGTCTTCACGGCGGCGGCGGCAGCGGCAACACCAACAACCAACAACCAACAAGACATCTCTTCAGATAGGCCGTAAAAAATTTCTTTCTGCCTTTTCCATAGCGTTGCGGCTGCAGATTCTGCGCGCAGCAGCAAGCAGCAGTTCTTGTTTAATTTTAATGTTTCTTATTTCTTTTCACACTTTAGAAAGTTTGGTTATATATTTGCTTTTAGGCAGCTCAACAAGTTGCCCGGGGATCTTGGCTCGTCCCAATGAGGCTCTCTCTCTTTTTTTCAGCAAAAACAAAAAAAAACAACAACAGAGCTACTGACCCACCAAGCAAAAAGTGTCCTGAAAGTAAAAGTGAATCCCTAAGAGAAGGGAGAAGGTGATCTCTGCAAGCCAAGGTTTGTTTTCTTATGTTTTCTTTTTTAAGATTTTTAAACAAGGTACGCCATCTATATCTTATGATAGTCCAAAGTAAAGGCAGTGCAAAATGCAATCAAACAGAAACCCTCATCATCCTTCTACTTGGATTTGCACTTCAAAATAACTAAAAATCTTTAAAATATTTTAGTAATTAAAAAAACCCACTTAAACTGCATGCAAATTACTTAAATTTTCTTAATTTTTCAAGTAATTTTCAAAGCATTTCCAAATTTTTATACAAGTAGGTGAAATGTCATTGAACTCGCCACCGAAAAAAAAAACAACTAAAGCTAAAGCTAAAGGCGGAAAAGAGTTGAGAAAATCTGAAGGATTTATTACAGGATATATGTGCTGCTCTCTGCCACGGCCTCTGTCTCTGCCTCAGTTTACGTAGCAGTCTCTGCCGCTGCCGCTGCCGCTGCCGCAGTAACAGTCACAGCCAGCATCGGCAGCAACGTCGTGGCCCCGGTCGAGTTCAATGCACTTGATTTGGCATACATTTGGCATTCGGCTTGTTATCAGACATCAGACGCAACTGGCTGCAGTTGTAGTTGCAGTTGCCAGTTGTTCAGTTTGTTGAGTTGCCCCGTTGGAGCCGCGTCTTATCAACGCAGCGGCACGTTGCCGAATGGCTTGCTTCAATCGCGCGCCAAGTGATAACAGCATTGGATCGAGCCAGCGCGGCGGCTCAAACATGTTTGAGCGAAGTAGTGAGCAATGAAAACGCTCAAACCGCGGGCAGGAAAAGAGAAAATCAATGGTAAAGAGTTAATCGAAGAGAGAGCTGACAAGCTTAGGATCGGTGGCGTATGCGCAATGTGTGTGTGGTACATAAAAGTAACTCAAAGTGGCACAAACCCTGGCCTTAAGCCTCGCTCAGTTAGATAAGCTGCTGTATGGCCACTGCGATCCTGCGATTTCAATGGCAATATTCATTGTATGCGGCATGAGTGTGCCACATATTTGGGTGGGGGAAATTTGGAACAGGCGGATGTGGTGGCTCCTGCAATTTATGCATCATGCAAAGTTCATTAACATTTGATGTTGGCTACGGCATGGACTGAATGGTTAAATCGATACCGGTACGGTACACTCTACTCCAATGTTCTGCTTTCGCTGTGGCTTTAATGACTGATAGCTGCCCCTCGTTGGTGGTGCTGCACCCCTTCTCCTCCCTTGCTCAGAATCATCTCAAATTGCACATATTATAATTTCTCTGGGGAGTAGAAAGTTGGTAATCAATCAATTGCAAGATAACTTTCGCTCTGCTTGCAAATTGCTGCAACTTTTCTAGCAAGTTCGTTGCCTAAGTCTTTCGTCTCGCTTTGGGATCTCTTCGAAAAGTCTGGAGAAAACGATGGTACTCGATGGTGATAAGGGATGTGGAAGAGCTAGAACATTACTTAAGGGTGAAACATCACTTACTTGGCAGTCGAAACTAATATGTCCAAGCACCATTAGATAGAACTTATAGGCTTAATAGTAAGTAGTAATTAAAAATTAGAAATTCTTGAACTGGAAAAGGAGTAGGATTACTGCTTCTGAGAGTAATGGTTTTGGGAATACTACAAATTCAGGAAAATTAACTTATTCTACACTTTTCTTGATCAACTGCAGACATTTTTAGGAAGTTTTGCTAAAAAACCCCTAAAAAATATCAAAGCAGAACCATAATAGGTAAGCTTATTTCGACAACTTAATATTTTAAATATCTGAAGTTAAAATTAAACTTATTCAAGATTCTGAAGTAAAGAAGAACAATGAATGCAAGCAGATTTAGCAAAAGATTCCCCTTACATCTATGGAATGTATGTAGTTAAGCCAATGTAGGCTTATAATTTAATCTAACATTTCTTGTGTGGCAAATAGAGACTAATTCATGGCTACCTTCCATATACACCTTTAACCGAAAAAGTAGAATACAACATAAGAATAAAAACTCTTAAATGAAAGTAGCAAAGTTTGCAAGTTCTCATCTTGTTTTAAAAAATTCAACATCTTGAACCCACAGCGAAGTAAAGTAAAAATTACGACATAGACAGTTGATTGCCAGACACGTTGATTTCCAGCCCTTTAGGCCATGATTTAATAAAAATCAGGGAATTCCCCGAGTAACGGCCAGAGTCTCATTAATCAGGCTCCAATCTGGATGACCGAATATGGCCAACCGATACTTTCGCCCAATGCGTTTTGGGGCCGTTTGGTGGCCAACTAAACAAAAGCGATGCCAATGCGAAACACCACAAAATCCAAATCCAAATCCAATCTACGTAGTCAATTTCACCAATTAAACTAATGTCGAGTTGGCGATAGAAATTTCTTGGAAAAGTCTTACCACCAGTCGTCACCAGTCACTCTGCCAGTCGACCAAATTGTCGCTAACGCAAAATGGGAAGCGATGCGGTCGGAAAAGCATCACGAAAAGCTAGCCAAAAAGGCGGCATCAGCCCAAAAAAATGTGCAAAATGTGCAACGAAACGGGCCCGGCAAATGCCGAAACACACAGAAAAAAAAATACAAACTACAAATTGCAGGCAACAAAATACAAAACACAACACACAGAAACAAGGCAGTCAGCCGTTGGTTTTGTTGTTTTTTTTTCTTTTTTTGCCGGCTTTTAGTCGCGTTTTAGTGGCCTTTTAGTGGCTGCCACTACTGACACACTGACGCTGTTGCATGTTGTTGCTGCACATTTGTGGCCATGAACGTGAAAAATCAGCAAAGTGAAAAATAATTGATTCCGGAAGGAAACTGCCGCAACTGGTTTCAGGTTTGGGTTTGTTTTGGCAACTTGCTGTTGCCGTTGTGGGTTTCATTTTATTTTTTTCTTCATTTTTGTTTGTTGTTTGTGTTTGTTGCACTTTTGTTGGTGCCGTAACAGGGGAAGCTGTGAAGGAAAGCCAAGCCGCTTTTCCGACGAGTGAAATCCAAAACGCTGTACAGCTCTCACACATTTCTGGTCTATTAAACAGCAGATCGCCCCCTATAGGAGGTGTACCCTTTTGTTCCACTTGATTCGAATTGCCATTCAGCCAAACGAGATGACAGTTCTGTGTCAGCAGCAGCGGCCAAAAGGAAGTGGAGAAATCTGATCTCTGGAGAGGAATAGACTTAGACTTAAACTCCAAGCTACAAGCTCCAAGCTCCTAGCCTCTTGATGGCTCCGCAAACAAGGCCCGTTTCTGGGCCAGTGGCGCAGAAAGTGACTGCCGTTGGCCAAAAGTGAAAAAAACATCATCAACAACAACAATAGGCCAAGAACCAAACATCTAGAGCCAGCCAAGCAACCAACCAACCAAACAGGCAACTAGTCAACCATTCAACTATCTAACCACCCACCAAAAGACAGCGTTCTCAGCGCCATGCAGGAAGTCAATTACCGCCTGGAGCCAAAGACTTCGGTCTTTGCATCCATATATCTTTGCATCTGCGGCCCCGCTTGTCGCAAATTCACAATCTCTGCCCGCTAAACTTTCTCAATTTAAAATTGCATTTGAAACGATGCTGATGACGCGACTGTTAGTTTGCTATTTTGCTAGATGCACATAAAGAAATTTTACTATAGATTTCATATCAAAGAGGAAATGCGTTACTCAAAAACCTAACCTGCCATGCACTTTTAATTCTATATTAAAATCTACAATATCAATCTGTAAATCCCTATAATTCTTATAAAGCTGTTATTTTTTTAAATCATTTTTTTAAATAGGAAAAAATATATTTGAAATTCACTTACCTGAATTTCCCAATTTATTCCTCCTTCTTATAGGGATTTGTTGTTCTTCAAAGTCCCATTAAATTTCCTCTTCGAAAATGTCCCACCTGTTTGTATGTAAAAATATCCCTTCCAATTTACATGCGTACATACATATGTGTAAGCTGACGCGCACACATACATTTCCACTTGTTTAACGGAGCACCCTTTGCATTTTCGCACATAAACTAGAAAAGTTAGTGATTAAAGCAACATATACTTAAGAAAATTTAAATTACAAACCTTCGACCACATTTTACGCTTTGTGTTATATACTTTTAATACCTATTGATAGCTAAATCAGTATAAAAAAGCTATATGTAGACGCTCATATATTCAATTGCACGTGCCCAGCGGAGCGCCAGTTGTATTTTTGCATAAAAACATGCAATATTCACCATTAAAACAATATATATTGAAGAATACTCAAAACACAGTTCAGCGATCACATTTTATGTATTATTAGATCTATTTTTAAGAATTTTTAAAACTTTATAAGCTTAAACATTGCTTGCACTTCACTAAATAGTACAACTATTTATGAATGACAAATGGCAACGCTTGAGCGATATTCCCAAGTAGCAAACGGGAAAATGAGTATTTACGGTTAGAAATGCAAATTGTGCCTTTGTTTTGATTCTTCATTCTTTTAGTTATCTCTTCGTTATTGAAGAAGAAGAACTTTAGTTTTGCTTTTAAATTGTAATAGAACTAAAGCTGAAAATCGAAATATGAAATGTGATATTGCATAAATATTTCTCTGTGTGTATCTAGCGATTTCCCTCGAATTTTCCGCAGCCAAGCTGGAAGTCGTTGCCATTTGCCGCCGCCAGCCGTTGACCGAAAAAAGTGTGTCAAGTTTTCGACAAAGATCAAGTACATCGCAGATAGTACGTCAAATGTGTTTTGCTGTCGTTGCCCCTGATGTTGGAGTTGAATGTTGGGGATGTGGAGTCGTCTTGTGCTGGAATCGTCTTGTGCCCAGAGTTTTCTGCATCCGCTGCTACTTTTGCTGATGGCCAGGCATTTCCAGTTGCCATGACCAAAATGTTCTCAAAATCCATTGCAATGCGGCTTAGATTTTGGTGCAATTTCGTAGTGAAAGTGCAGCAGCACCAGCACCAGTCGTTCCACAACTAGTTAGAAAGAAATGTGCGGCACTCCATCGTTGGTAATTGCTTGAGCTGCACAAGAAAGCCGCTGTGGATCTAGATTGTGCCTCAAAGATTGGCCAAAATGACTGGTGGTGGGCCGATTTGGCTTAGCTTGGCTGAATAAATCGCATTCCCGCATCTTGACTTGACGAAATCGTGTTCTGGTGATCTTGTGGGTGCCACGGCGACCCACTTGGAACCAACTGCAATGACCCACTCAACTGACATCCGCAGATAAACCCAAACAAAATCCGGGTCTGGGTCAGAGAAAGGGAGAAGATGCCAAAGATATCAAGCTAGCGTTCACTTTTGCCAACACCGACAGATGCCAACTGTCATTGGCCATCATCAATCGATGGGGTCAAAGAAACTCCTGGCTTTCCACTGCGTTTCTGCCTGGTCTTTCTCTCTTTTATACCTCTCTATATACATATATACAACATATATGTGCGGACGTGAGATCGAGATTGAAATCAAGATCGGCTAAAGATAGGACACAAAATTAAAAAAACAATTCTGGACAGGAAGGTAATGGGGACTGGGAAGTAAGTGTGTGCTATTTTCATATGCGCACACCGTTGCCACTGATAACCCAATATCCCAGTTAAATTTGAAATCAAAAGCCGTAAATGCCGAGGCGGGGGAATTTGAATGCGCCGCCGAAAGAGAGAGCCAATAAGTCCGTTATGTTATGCATAAATCCGAAATCGTGGGCGGCGTGGGCGTCAGTCGCCCTCGGTCCGCCGTCCGCAGTCTCAGTCGTCGGCCGGCGGTACTTACTCGTACTTTCAATTGGAATTGCCCCGCCCCACTGGCCCATTACGCAGTTCCCGATATAAAAGCGTCAACGCGTCTTGGCCGGCGTTTCTTTTACCACAACAATGCCGAGAAGTGCGCTCATCGTTCCCAGTTTTATTTGTCTTTGGCTCGCCCTGGCCCTGGCCTTGGCCCAGGGCGCCACTTTGGAGGCGGGAAAGAAGGTGGAAACGGTGACGGAATCACTAGCCACAAGAAAGGTGCTTCTTCGTGGACGGCCTCCAGTGCCGCCCTCGCCGAGATGGGGCGCCAACATGCAAATGCTGCGCCGGCATAACAGTAGGTATCCAAAATGGATCTTCCATACACTTCACTTTGACTCTTGACCTAAGACTCACCAACTGACATCTGCAGGTCCCGCCTTCAACTTTTGGACAGAGGAGAGCGATACGAATATCTGGGAGCACTGCGGACTCTTCGAAGGCGACATCATGCTGCATCGGGAACTTTTAAGGAATGGATTGCTCAACGAACGTCTCACTTGGCCAGAAGCCTCCGTGCCCTTCTACATAGACCCTCAGGATTTCAGTGAGTATTAACCTTCAGCAAGCAAGAATTATAATCACTCCTAATCCGATCAGCCACCAACCAGACCATGGTGATACTGAAGGCCTTCAAGGAGTACCATGACCGCACTTGCATCCGCTTCCGGCCGTACGAGCAAGGCGACAAGCACTGGCTTCTCATCAAGGGCAACTACTCCGGCTGCTGGTCCAGCGTTGGCAGGCGTTCTGGTGGCCAAGTGCTTAACTTAAACACGCCCAAGTGCGTAACCCACGGGGTGGTAGTTCACGAACTTCTACATGCTCTTGGCTTTTATCATCAACAAAGCGCCACGGAGCGAGATGAGTATGTGAAGATCAACTGGGAGAACATCCTTGATGGGCATGCACATAACTTTAACAAGTACGCCCGTACCCATATCACCAACTTCGGCGTGGAGTATGACTACCAGAGCGTCATGCACTATAGCTCCCGGGCGTTTAGCAAGAACGGCAAGGCAACCATAGAGCCACTGGTGAGTTAACTATCTTTAACATGATAATGGTTTAAGATACAAAATCTGCTTAGTGGAACATTCATATATATTTTTGAGTATTTATACTTATCGTTAGGATTGGAATATTCATTCAATAATAATACTTGGCATTATTGGACATATTGCCTATTATAGGCGAGTTATAATCTAACACTTATTGTAACAAGAATATACTCTAAAAGTTATATATTATCGTGAGACACAAAGTATTCTACTAAACAAATATTGTATATTCAACAATATATATCCATCCAAGATGGCCATGAGCATTACAAAAAATACATAGTTAACTTATGATTAGTTCATCAAATAGTTAAATTCAACAATAATATAATCATTCCTGAAACAAACTAACAAGTAATGATTATTTGATTTGAGTTAATTAATATTTTGATTAAAATCAGTTTCAGGAATTTCTATATTTGTACATGGCCACATGACGTAGAACTAAGCTAGGACTATATATATATATGAGATAGAGCAGATTTTTATCTTATTTTAGTTTAGTTTTTAGCTTTATGGCAGACCATAATAGGATGACTTAAGATTCTTTCATAATTCTCCAAAGGGAAATGAGATTTTTCTGGGAAATGTATTTGTTTTTGATTTTTCCAACTTACCACTCATTCTTCTCCTCTGCTGCCAGGATCCGTACGCCTCGCTAGGCCAGAGACGCGGCCTCTCCGACAAGGATGTGTCCAAGTTAAACGAGATGTATGAACAGGACTGCAGCGAGGATTACCTACTCAATTTCGATCGCTTTGGGAACTACATCGACGAGCTGCTCGACTACTTTCAGGGCAACATTCAGGATCTGCTCGGATAGAGACGCCTGAGCCCAATAAAAGAAAGTGCCGGCTAGGTGACGAAAAAAGTGAAATGGCTAATCTCGTCGAGGGTCTGGGCAGCCTCCCCACGCAGGGCTGGGTAGGAATGGTGCTCCGACAGCTGCTGCAGTGCGAATCGTAGCTCTCCGTTCCAAATGCGCTGCACGCCGCGCAAACTGAAGCGGGCTAGTAAACGCAGTAGCTGGCAGGAACGTTGCCGCAACAAGTGGTGGCGACTCTGCAGGAGCGTTGCGAAGTTAAGTCGTGGATTGAAGACAATCCTCTCCACAAGCTCGGCGTTTTCGGGCAATTCACGAAGCATACAACCCATTAGTGCTAACATGCAGCCAGCCAGACGCACAGAGGCCGAGTCGGAGTCAGAGTGTCTGAAGTCTATGCAAGAATAGGATTGATTAAAAATGGTCAGAGCCAAGAAAAGAAGGCTTACCATGAGTGAGGAAGTTCAGGAATAGATCGTTTGCTGCCAGAATAGCAACTGCATCGCAGAACTGGGTGAGAAACTGTGGCTGCAGGTGTACCAGGTGACAGACCAGTTCGTAAAGACTGCAAGCTGTTTCCAGCTCCTCGACAGTAAGCTCGGGAATGCTTCGCAGCGTCCGGCTAAGCGAGCCAGCCGTAAGTGGCGCGGAGGCAGCAGAGTCCGAGAGCTGCTTGTGCGACAGAAGCAGCTTACAGGCGTACATGAGATTGGGCACCAGCTTAACGTCCACATAAACGTTTCGAATCAACTCCAGATCTCCTATCAGAACAGGATCCACCAGCACAAAGGGCAGCGACAGCAGCTGAGCCACACTCTTCAGCACTCGCGGAATGGCCTTGGAGTTGCGTAGCGGCGCCACTATAATGCTAACCAGGTTGTGCTGCTTCAGTGAGTCCAATTCGCCATCAAGTAGCTCCTGCACCGATCGATTTAGGAAGGCGAGCCACTCATCGTTCTCGATGGGCGGACTTTGGGACTCATCGCAACTGTCCCATCCTGGCAATAGGCAGGGCGGTGTGTTGCTGTTAAGAAAAAAATATATAGTAAGTATTAGGAAATTCAACGGATTCTGTGGCCACTCACTCGCTGCTGAGTTTCTCTTCGTTGGTGGAGTGCATTGAGTGCTTTAACTGCTGAGACTGTGGCTGCGGGGGCTGAGAGCTAGTGTGGGGAATCGGTTGAGTAGCAGGCTTCTTCTCTTGGGTAAGTTTCTCCTGGGTAAGTTTCTCCTGTGCAACCTTCTCCTGGGTAAGTTTCTCCTGTGCTTGATGATCTGTAGTCTTACGGTGAGCATCGGTGTCGACGCTTTGACCTAAACGTACTGAGAAGTTGTCCAGATTCTGGCTAAGCTTCCGTTTCTCGAGATCTTTGCTTCGTGACTGCCGCACGACGGGGACCACTTTCGGCTTGGCCACCACGCCCCGCAAAGAGGCCTGAAAGTCGAAGTTGTCGTTCATGTGATTAAGTATCATGTTGGAGTTGCCGCTGACGAAGCAAGTGTGCGAGTTGACCAGCGGTTGGTGGACCACCGGCATTGCCCGTATACCAGTCAAATCTCTAAAGGAAACGTCTGCAAACGGTACGACCACCCGTTGCATGTTATCCTCTACATCCGTTTCAAGATTCTCTACATCACTGGGAGCAATGGCGTTAATACTGTCACGTGAGGTGCTCAAGTTTTCCTGGGGCGCCTCGCCAAAGTTCAATGCGGCCAAGGCTTCGTCAAGATCACCAGCCTCCTGATTGGATGGCTTGACTGTCTTCACCTTGGCCGCGGGATTTGTGAAGGGCGACTCTTTGGCCGCCTCCGCCTGCAGTTCGGCGATGAAGATACGACCTTCGATGAAGGGGTGGCACAACAACTGAGTCCACGATATTCGCATGCCAGGATCTTTCTCGAGCAGACCCTGCAAAAAGGAACGACATTCGCTGGTCAGTGTGCTTGGCCACTTGACATCTTCGTGCTTGATCATCTTAACGAGATGCAGGATGGAGCTCGCACAGAATGGAGGCTGTCCGGCCATACTCTCGTAGGCAATGCAGCCCAGAGACCACATGTCCGCATGGTGATCGTACGGCTGTTCTGCCAGCAACTCCGGAGCCATGTATAGCGGTGTGCCTTTAATCGAGGTGAGCACGTGGGTGCCCAGGGTCATGTTACGGGCCAAACCGAAGTCGCAAAGCTTGGCGTGCATATTCTTGTCAAGAAGAACGTTCTGCGGCTTGAGATCCCGGTGCAGGATGCGGTTGGAGTGTAGATAGTACAAGGCAGATACCAGATGACCGGTCACCCGACGTGCCGGCTCCTCGCCCATGGCTCCATTATAGGAAAGGTAGCGATGTAAATCCATCAATGCGAACTCGGTGACCACAAAGAGATCTGTTTTCGACTCAAAGGATTCGATCATCTCGATGACGTGCGGATGCTTTAATCGGGCCTGGATGTCGCATTCCCTGCGCAAATTCTTTAGTTCTTTGGTAGCTCTTCCGCGCTGAAGATTTAAATAAAAAGATTCCGGTTTACTTGTTGCTTTTGCCATGATTTTTGCATTAGACCGCCAACCCACTCACCTTGGAGATCACTTTTATGGCCACCACCTTGCTGTCGTCCTTGCGTGTCGCCTTGTACACGCATCCGAAGGATCCCTGTCCTACCAGCGAGCTTACCGCGTAGCGGTTCATGTTTATTTTGAGTTTTATTGGATCAAACTTTAAATTCCTCTGCAGACGGCTGTATATATTTGACAGTAAGACCGTTAATAGCTTGGTCTAAAAATCACTTGCGATTTGCTGTTTAAATACTAAAATGGGTGAGTAAGATTTCACCACTTCCTTTGTTAGATTCTCCAAAAAGTGTGGGGAGTTTTTACATGCATTTTAAAAATACTTGCACATTACTTAAAAGCAAAAAATCAATAAATATCGTTACTACTTTCTTTTCTTGACATAATTGCATTAAAGTTTTTGGATTATAGTACCAACACAACATGACTAATATGGAGGGAAATTAATAAATACAAAAATTCCCCTCTGACCAGAATGTCCAAATGGGTTTTTCGTGAAAAGCAGGCGACGGTCTTACTGAACGGACACGGCCGAAAAACAGCTGATCGGTGTCTGTTTTTTATTGTGCAAAGGGAGCAATAATCGTTGTGAAATAAATAATGATTGCCATTCTGGACACAGCCAACCAGTGAGACGACACCCGCATATCGCAGCACGATGCGTGAGCCCAATCTGTACGTGATCCTTTCACATGCGCTAATCGGTGAGTGCCAATCAACCGGCAGCGGCAAATGACCCTGCCACGCCTCCTTCTGGGCAAATTTAAATTAATTGGAATTCCCCGAATTTCAATTGCCAATCCGAATCCAATTCCCAGGCTCTGGCTTCTTCTTCCTGTACGTGCAGCATGTGCGCGTGATCTTTGAGACTCGCACCAATATCCAGCAACTCAATCAGCTGGAACGGGAGGCACTTCTTCGGCGCGAGGATGCCCTTTACTATGCCTTCTACAAGCGGCTGGCCGACGGTCCTGACTTTTGGCACGGCTATGAGCAGCTGAAAAATGTCACGGACATCGAGTATCCGCATAGTGTCAATGTTCTGCAACGCTTCTATGTGCTGCCGGAGTTGGTCACGGCGTAAGTGGTTTTGAGTAGTCAACCCCCATAGTGTAGTTACTATTAATCTACCTCCTCCCAAACAGGTACTTCTATCACATAGTGCGTTCCGGCTTTAATCCCATGGTACAGCCCATGCAGTTCTATCTGGAATTTGTGTGGCTGATGGGCGGGGTGACACTGCTGGTCCTCTATCTCTATGGGACGCTGCTCAGCGAGAACGTTTTCGGAGGCATATATGGGGTTCTGTCGTACCTAATGTTCCATAGCTTCGTGGCCAAAATCTATGAGCGACCATTGGCGAGGGAGAACTTTGCCTTTCCGTTCATCTTCCTGCAGATGTTTTACCTGTGCATTTGCATCGGCAGGATCATACATCGACAGCGGCACACCTCTCGCTTGTTTATGGTAATTAACCAGTTTTGCGTAACAATAACCAGTTAGTAATTTAACTGTCTTTTAAAGATCTTCGCTATGTCGCTGTTCACCGCCTGCGCTCTGCTTTCCTGGCAGTTCTCCACCTTTATCTTCACCACTCAGATTCTGATCGTGATGACTTCCTGGAACATGAGCACTCTGCCCCAAGGGCTGGCCAACGCCTTTGCGCTAGACTACTCACTGTCGCACCTGCTGGGTCATGCTCTGGCGTTTGTGATGTCACACGGCAACAGTCAGCTGCTCCTCACTTGGCAGTTGAGCGTTTCGCTGTCACTATTTTTGATTACATTGGTGCGACAGCTGCGTCAGGTGCGCAGCCGGCGTCTGGGACACGCTCACGATCCGTTGCAGGGCGACTACTTCTCGCTGAAGTTTATTCTGCTGGCCCAGCTTTTCGCTAGCAGCATGCAAACCAAGTTATTTGAGCTGCTCAATCGGGCAGGAGTGGTCAGTGTGCCGGAGGGAGCTCAAACGCACTACTGCGAACTGTGGGCTCATTGGGCTCTGCAGGTCAATGTGGGTTTTGTGTCTCATCTCTCTGCCTGCAATCCGCTGTATGCGCGCATCGCCTGGTCGGAACTCTGGCAGCTGGTCAAGACGATGATCGTGAAACCGTACTGCATGTACGGCGTGGTCATGTTGGCCATGTTTTTCCGTCGCTGGCGCAAGAGCGGCGCCCCAGCCGCCGCTGTCAGCGAGGAGCAGCGTGAGCGAGCACGGAACTATGTGCTGGAGGACTTCCTCGAAGAGCATCGCGTTTCCATGGGCGACATGTCCAACAAGCAAACTGAGCAGCAATTGCAGAAGTGCTTCCGGCTGCTCGAAAGCTGCGATCACGACTACGAGCGCTACAAACGCGCCCAGGCCCGTCTGCGTAAGGAGCAGCCGCCTACCCGCGATGACTTTATGCAAGACATCCAGCGTTTGCGAGCGCAGATCCATCGCAACATTGACAAGCAGCGAAAGGAGAGGTCGCAGGGAACCAAAGAACCGGCCGGTGACGGGGCTAGCCCACTGACAGAGGAGGAAGATAAGCAAGCAGAATCGAAGGAGGAGGAACAGGAGCCTGTCAGCACCGAAGCCGAAGCCGAACCTGAGTCCACAGCAGATCCCACTGAAACTCTGCCGTCCAAGTCTCCCGACCAGGAGGCAGAAGAGGAGGAGCCTTCGGTCGCTTCCACCGGCTCCAGCTCTACTGGCCAAAAACGCAGGAAGCGAAGCTCCTCCAGACGCAGCTCTGTGGTGCCCACGGCCAACGCACAGATCCTCGACCTGCACTACGTCTACAGCTTTATGCAAATGCTAGTCTTCACCATCATCGGGCTCGCCGTTCGCAAACTCTTCTTCCTCAGCTTTACGCAGGGCTGCGTCATTGCGCCAACTATCTGCTCTAAAGTGTGGTATCATCGCCAGCGCAATATCTTCTGGTCGGTCTCGCTGGCCGTCTTCCTGCTCAGCATGTTCGATCCGGGCATGGTGGTAAGTTGAACTTTGCTCTGCTTTTTTGAGAAACCCTAAAATGATTGTGATTTCCTTTTTCTGTGAAGAACATTCGCGAGGAGTACTTCCCCACGCGCTACAGCCAAAGCGGCGATGACCTGGACAGCATGCTTGAGTGGATCAAGCTGAATACGGAACGGGATGCAGTGTTTGCCGGTCCCGTAGAGATCATTGGCACAGTGCATCTAACCACCAAACGACCCATTGTCAATCATGCGCACTTGGAGATGCGTCAAATGGCGTGAGTAGTCCGGATAAGAGCGAGATAGCTTATCACTTATTCCCCTACGCTATCCCTCTCTCTTTGGCGTTCATGTTGATTAATTTACGAAACCTTCCTCCTTTCCAGGGATCGTACTGAGCACGTGTACTCGGTGTATAGTCGCCAACAGTCGTCGGACATCTATAATCAGTGCGCCCAGCTAAAGATCCAGTACTTGATCATATCGCTCGATGAGTGCACCAACGAAGTGCGGTGAGTAGTAGCCCTTGAGACGGGCACTCTAGATAAATAATATGCAAGGGGAACTGGGTAGCTCTGACCTCCAAGTTTGCAAGTTATTTCCGATCTCTGATCATGAAGTCTTATCTTTTCATATTCTAGAGACGATTGTGATCTGCTGGCGATTTGGGATGACAAGCAGCCGGCGTACCAGAAATATCCACAATTCTGTCACGAGTTGCTACACAAGAACGTGCCGAGCTTCCTAAAAGTATACACGAACGATCATTACGGCATCATTAAGATGTTCTCGCAGAGCGTTCAGATCAACCTCAAGCACAACAAGATGCCCGAGATGTCCATATAGGAGTAGATGACATCGGAGGCGGAATATGGGGATGGGATGATATGGGGAAACGACTGTGTTGTGTTGTGTACGTAGCTATGTGAGCTGTGTGACTAGGGATTAGCGTTTTACGATGTCTTTGTATTATGATTACGTTTAGTATTGCCCACTCCTCGTTCCTCCTATCGCTCCCATTGTTCCCCTCGTTCCACCTGTAGAAGATATACATAGTAGAGATTGCAGATAGAAGGAGGCCTCTTCCGCTAGATAGTAAACTGGATGCATTTAGCAGCTTGACTTGTTTCTGTTCCGCTCCGCGCCGTTGCGTTCAGACCTCGTTTGGATCATTCCCCGCGCCCCTCGCATTCGAATAAGTTAATCTAGCTGTACGGACCGACTCTAAACTCTAAAATACTTTCGTTAAGTTTAAGCTAAGCTTTTTACATTTATGTAGTATATGACGTGTGGTTAGAGAAGTGGCTGGATGTGGATGATATGTTGATATGTACCCGGAATCCACGTTCCCAGACCCAAAAAAAAAGAAAGAATATACAGGCAAAGCGCATTTGCCAGGCAATAAGTGAAATAAAACTATGAAATTTAAATCAGTTGCTTGTGAATTTTCCCTGAATTATAATATATTTTTTTTAGGACTTTCTCTTATTTGGATTTTGAACTGTTTGATATTTTTCTTGTATCTTTTAAATTGTATTTGTTAATGTTGTACATTTTAAATTTGCAACGGTCTCAAGGTTTTGATCTGAAGTTAAAAATGTAAAACTGCCCCGGTTTGTGTCCCGACTTAATAAGTTTAATTCACTATTACATTCCCTCTGCTGTATTATATATAATACTTAAATGCATTAAATAACTAATCCTACACAACAACTAAAAAAAATGATACTTAACTTCAAAAATGCTAATTTTAAAACGATTGGTTACTTCGAAAATGTAAACGATAGGTTTTTCGAAATATTTAACTTCGAAATATTGTCTTTCAGTTGGTTTTGCCATCTGGTCACACTGTTTTAAAAATCTTAATTTTTTTGATAAAATCGAAAGTATTGTCCATTCTTGGCTAATTTCGCGGTCATATTCATCTCCATCATGCTTTACTTGGAGGACTACCTGGAGATGATCGAGCACCTGCCACAGGAGCTTCGCGACCGCTTCACAGAGATGCGTGAGCTAGATCTCGCAGTTCAAAGTAAGTGTGAACAAAAACAATTCATGTTTATGATTGTTTATGTTCCTCATTTATGTGTGTCATCTATGTGGTTATTATGTATGATGTTTAACAATTACATGGTTCATTCCATCCACAGATAACATGGACTCCCTGGATAAGAAAGCTCACCTGTTCTTCAAACAGTGCAAGCGCGACGAACTGCAGCACGAGTCAATGGACACAGAGTTTCACAGCTTGCGCGGCGAGTACTTTAAGGTGATGGAGGACGCCGACGAGAAGGTGGCCATTGCCACTCAAATCCACGAGCTGGTGGAGCGCTACCTGCGCCGTTTGGACAGTGAGCTCTTCAAGTTCAAGTGTGAACTAGAGGCTGACAACAACGGCATTACCGAAATCCTCGAACGCCGTTCATTAGAGCTGGATGGCAACTCAACGGCAGCCACCGCCCTTCTGCTAAGCATGAACCAGAAAGAAAACCGATACTACGGCGCCAGTTCGGCCAACAGTATGGTAAACAGTTCGGCAAGCCACGCTTCTGGAGCTGCCACAGGCCCTTCGTCTGCCATTGCCCTGGTAAGCGGAGCCGCTGGTTCTGGCAGTGCTCTCTCCAATATATCAACGGCTCAGCTAAGCTCCAACCAGCGTCATCGGAAGCTGGAAAAGCGACGTGAAACCATATGCACCGTTCCCGTCCAGGAGAAGCGCGCCAACCTTAATCACTCGCTTCCCGTGGTCGGCGCCGGCTCCACCACAGCTTCAGCGGCTTCCTCCTCATCGTCCACAGCTGCCGCTGCAGCCGCCGGTCTGGCCAGCGTCACATCTGGCCAATCCCAGACTTCCAATCATATAAGCAGTATCGCAGCAACACATCTCACATTGCCCGTGGCCGTAGGCGTTACAGGAGGCAATAGCAACCTGGCCAGCAGCTCTCTAACTACTGGAACGAGCTCACAGGTGCGCCAACTTCCCACGAATCTGGCACATAGCGTTTTGAGCAATTCAGGAGGAACTGTAGCTGCAACGGCGGCGGCTGGAGCATCCACGCCTGTGGTCACAGCCGGTACGGCCCACGGGCATGCCCACAGTGGCCATTCGACCAGCGGAGCCACAGTCACCTACAACCTGCAGCAGCTTGGTGGAGGGGCAGCTGCATCGAGTGCCATTGCAGCGGCAGCAAGTCAGGCAATCATGGCCACGCAGCAAATGCAGCAGGGCCGACGAACGGCCAGTCTCAAGGCTAGTTACGAGGCCATCCATGGAACGGCCGGAACTACGGCAGAGTTCTGGACACAGGCCGGTCAAAGTGGCCTGCAGCAGTCGACGGCCGGAACGGTGACTGTGGCTGCCGGTACAGCACTGGCCACTGGAGGGGCCACTGGAAGTAGCAGTGGCTCACACCACTCACATCATTCCCAGTCGCATCACAGCAACCATGGTCATGGACATGGCCATGGGCACGGACATCACCACAGCAGTAGCAGTCACAGTGGCGGTCACAGTAGCCACCATCAGGAGAAGAAGCAGAAGAAGAAGCTTACGACTACGCTGGCATTGCCTACAGTGCAGGCGACTGCTGGCTCTTCGTCCGGCAACTCGATTGGCTCAGCATCCTCTTCGTTGAGTGTAGAATCGGTGGGCAAGCTATCCACAACGGCGGCCATGGCAGCAGCAGCATCCGCAGGATCTACGACCTATATGTCTGTTGGCGGACAGTCTTTGCTTGCCATGACTACCGGTGGAGGCGGCAACTTAACGGAGAATGCCTCTGAAAGCGTCCCAGCCGGAATGATTGCCATGAACCTGCCAACTGCCACTGTGACGCCCGGTCTGACCATCGGCGAGAACGGACTCGTCGTTGAGCAGACCAACGAGGGCGAATGGTCATATGATCCAAACGAGCCGCGTTACTGCACCTGCAATCAGGTGTCCTACGGCGACATGGTGGCCTGCGACAACGACGCCTGTCCTTACGAATGGTTCCACTATCCTTGCGTTGGAATCACCCAACCGCCGAAGGGCAAGTGGTATTGTCCTAAGTGCACCGCATCCATGCGGCGTCGGGGCAATCGGAAGAACTGAGGCTGACTGCGCCTGCTGGCGCCCCTCTTCCGTGGCGGGGGCGGCGGCGTAGGCACTTGGTCGCGCCGCTAAAGGTGGATATAGACAGCAAGAAATTTAAGCAAAATTATGAATAAAGTTAAAGTTCATTTTTAGCTATGGTTTTTTATACATGGAATTATTATATTTTTAATATTATAGCTACTTCTAACGAATTTCCTAAATTTTTAATTGATAATAAATGCCATAAATTGTATTTCGAAATTCCCGCACTTGGTAAAACATCGGGAAAAATGCAAGTGCATTTCCCAAAACATCGCAACAAGAATTTTAGGCGATAGTGCATTACGAAAAATGACTATAAACCTCTGGTCACGCTAAAAAGAAGAAAAGAAAATTCCCAGCGTCATTTGTGCAGTAAAATTGGTAAACAATAAAACCATATAAACAGTGCGAGGAATAAAGGGAAGGCGACTTTAAAACCACATTTCGACCCAGATTGGTTTGAGAAACGGCCTCAAGATTGGCAAGATACGCAAGAGCAAGAAAATGAGCTATAACGAGAAATCGGAGGCCATCACCAAGGAGGAGTGGCTGCAGCGCCTGGAGCAGTTTCCCTTCAAGCAGGCGGATATGAATCGCCTAATCATGAACTATTTGGTCACAGGTGAGCATTATAGTGGCATCTAGCAACTAGAAATAAGAACTAATCCCAGGAACATCTTGTAATCTCCTTGTTTCCACAGAGGGCTTTAAGGAGGCAGCCGAGAAGTTCCAACACGAAGCGGATTTGGAACCCAGTGTAGAGTTGAGCAGTCTGGACGAGCGTATTCTCATCCGCGAAGCTGTACAGGCGGGCCGGATTGAGGAGGCCACCCAGCTGGTTAACCAGTTGCATCCAGAGCTGCTCGGCAGCGACCGCTATCTTTTTTTTCACCTACAGCAGTTGCAGCTCATCGAGTTGATCCGAGCGGGCAAGGTGGAGGAGGCCCTGGCCTTTGCCCAGAGCAAGCTGTCTGAATCTGGGGAAGAGGCCATGTTCGAGTTGGAGCGAACATTGGCGCTGCTTGCCTTTGAGAAGCCACAGGAAAGTCCTTTCGCCGACCTGTTGGAGCAGTCGTACCGCCAGAAGATCGCCAGCGAGCTCAATTCGGCTATCCTGCGTTGTGAGCACAGCGAGGATTCCACGCCCAAGATGATGTTCCTGCTCAAGCTGATCTTGTGGGCTCAGTCCAAGCTGGACAGCCGTTCAATCAGCTATCCCAAAATGAAGAACCTCGAGACGGCGCATCTGGAGCCCAAGTAGAGGGACAGGGCAGAGCGGCAGATGCACCGAGATCGCCCCCCCTTCGACTTCTTTTGCTAATGCTATTGCTATTATATCTCTTTTTAATAAGTATGTATGTATGTATGCTGGATGTACGCAGTGAATTATTAAATATAAGTAGCCGGAAAAGCCATCCGTTTGTTTTTTCCTTTTTCACCAGCCAAATATAAGATCCATGGCCCTGTCAACTAGCCCGGAACTTTTCTGTGGCATATCCTTTGTTGGCGATATAGTGTTTTCATTGCGGGCCAGCTTGTACGACTGCTGAACCAATGGCAAGACCGAAGAGTTTTTGGTTCCTTGAACCGGTTCGTCCACATTGGCCAGCCCGCTGTTGTTCTCCTTGTCGAGTACCGTGCGATCCGTGCAACGGGTCACTCCCACCATTACATTGCCGGCAAGTATCTTGTGATTGTAGTTAAGGGCCTTGTCGCTCTCGATACGCGAGGAGAAACGCACATGCATCCAATTGCCGTTCTGCGGGGCATGTATAACGTCAACAATGGTACCGCAGAGGGTGAAGTGCTGTAGCACCATGGAACTGGCTCCGGGCGAGAAGCCAAAGATGGTCACCCAAAAGTCGTTGCGGCTAGGGTTGCCCCTTGATGTTTCTGTGGTACCCAAAATTCCTGACGAGGCAGTATCTCCATGCGGCGAGTATAGGTTGCGCATCGAGGCATTGATGGCGTTGGGTGCAAACGAATCGTTGGCCTGATAACTGCTTTGGTAGCTTTGATTCGGCGACTGCATCTGTAGCATGCTGAAATGATTGCGCTGCGGTGTAGCGGGCTGTTCTCGTAGTGAATCAAAGAGTCCCTGGGTAGGCGGTCCGGCCTGATGGTGGATGTGAGCGTGGCTTGGAGTTGTTGTATTGGCGCCAGTCTGTGATATGTTGTGTCCACCTTGTGGTCCTCCTTGAGCACCGAACAAAGAACGATTGTTCAGTGCAGACCGATTGAATTCGTGCGGACTACTAGGTGAGGTAGCTAAGTATTCATATATGTAAATACATATATATAAATATAGTCCCTTAAAGATCCGGATAATGATACAAACTTACCAAAACTAACATTATAACGACCAGGTTTCGGAGATAGCGTGTTCTTGTGTGGCGTCAATCCTTGTGGATCGCCCAGGAGGAAAGGCGGCAAATATTGGCTTTGGTTTGAGCCAGGGCTATTAACCGGACTGCCTAGGGTCATTGGCTCCATTACGAATGCTTAGATTGGTTATAAATCCGGACTTTAAACTATAACTTGAAATTTAATCTGAACGCCACAGCTGTGTTTGTGTTACCAAATGAGACCAGACGTTGGGCGGGCAAGTACCCATAACTTCGCTTTGCTGCTGGGTATTTTTGCAGCCTACTCTGCAAGGTATGTTTCGAGTCTTACGGAACGGTCACTCTAGCGGCCACTTTGAACAACAACAGCACGCGTCGCGTCTCTTCGCCTTTCTCCTTTTTTTTTTATAATAAACTACACTACACTCCTGGCATTTTTTCGTGTCGCGCGTGATAAAATTGGCAATAAATAAAACATAGTGTGCGCGTAGTGTCAATTTGAAAATTTAAACAGAAAGTTAAACACCTTGCCTTACAACAACAACAAATACTAAAAAAGAGAAAGACGAATCCAAAGCCAGGACCTTCACAGTTGAATAAGGATCGTGTGCGAGAGGGACAGAGCGGGACTTGATCAACGGGATACAGGGTGACATGTGGAGTCCGACGCACTGCAGTGTAACGGGTGAGTGGGGGCGAAAAGCAGGGGACACCCGTTTTTGTATTTGTGTTTTTTACGGCGAATAAATCGCATTAAAACTTAAACTCGTTTGTCGTGCGTGTGTTTCTGTGTGTGTGTGTGTGTAATTGTGTTGTGCTTAAGGTTGCACTGTATTGGTGTGTGCTTAAAATATTGTCATGACGGATTTTGTTGCTGATTTTGTTGTAGACATACCTATTCGAAATTTCACTTTCTCCCCCGCGCGAGCTCTCTTTTCAGTCTACCAATAATACCGCTCTCTCTTTGTATTTGTGTTTTCCTGATTTCAGCAAATTGCCTTATTTTTATCAGACTCTTCTGGCTGATAAGATAATTCCCTTGCTTTAACATCACATTCTTAGTCATAGTTAGAAAATTGCTTATGTTTTCTACACCCATGTCTCTTTTTCGATCACTCCCCCTTTACCCCTTTGAATTCTTGCACATACAACCATGGTGGCGCTTGTTTTTGGGGGCCTTCTTGTTTACCTTTGCCCATTGTTTTCGTTGTTTTTGTTTTCTTCGTTTTCTTCAGGGCTGAATGTCAATGAGAACTCGCAAATTCCGATTCCAAAATCGTGACAAAAACACAAAGCGCGCTCATTCTGCTGTTCCCACTATGAACAATTATGAAAACAAATATTACAGACGAACTTTTATAGCGCTCTGTATATAGTTAATTGATGGTATCCACTGTAAATAGGTTTCTATATGTGTATATGTATTGGCTTAAATGTCTAAAATGAGTCACAATTTGTGGCTATAGCTTAAGCTTCATGGAATGTATGTACACAAATCAAGAAGATAAACACACGACTCGAAGCTTAAAAGATATAGATAGATTTAACTTCTTAACTTGATATGTGCTGTGCTATGGCATTCCCCTCCATCCACCACCTTGAACTTGCCCCGCTATCAGCTAGTACGTTCTTTATTTCCACTTTGCTCATTTATTTTGCATATTTGCACAGCGCACAATGTTTTATATTCCAACCAATTGCGATTAAAAAAGCCCAAAGCCGTTGACGTCACGGCGAATGAGCAAACAAATCATCGCCGTGATGGCTCTCCTAAATTCGCCGAGTTTCAACTTGTTTGTATTTTTGTGCACACACACATACTATATATACGTATAGAGATATATATATATTTATATATGTATAATACACCTGTCAATATTTGCCAATTTCTTGATGAGAATAAGATGAGCGCACGCTTTGTAAACAGCTGTTTTCGCTGCTGTTCTCAGTAGGCGGGCTGGGCTGTCTGTTCCCACTCCTTTTGGTAGGAAAAGGCATTCCCATACAGGGAGAATGTATAGGAATTTGATTTTAGAACTTATTGTAAAACAAAGAAAATGATTTTATTTATATTTTTCTAATATTTGGAAAAAACATAAAATTAAGGAACCTTAATCTTAATTTTACATACAATTTTTGACCTGAAGTCAAGCTGCCTTATTTTTCTCTGTGTACATTTTCTATTCCCCTATTAGATCACCCGACAACCACCTATATTTTCACCTTTCCATTAGTAGTTTGTTGTTAGGGGCAGCATTTAGTTTTGGTAAAGTTCCTTATCGACTGTGACTCCACCCTAAAGTTGGCCAATTGCGTGCCTTATTTTTAGCCGTAAATTCTTGGCGGCCACTCATTCACTCACTCACTCACTCGCTTAGTACGGACACACCTGAAAAATACCTGAAAATGAAAATTCCGCAGCGGGAAATTGTGCAATGAGCGGCTGGGCAGCCAAGCAGACCCAAACAAAAACAAACGGCTAATTTTCCTTTTCATTTCCATTTCGGTTTTTGGTTTTTGGTTTTGGCTTTATGTTTTGTTTGCTTTTGCAACGCATTTTAATGCGGTTGCAGTGAAAATCAGAGCGAGCCACCCCGCCCTTTTTATCAATAACGAAAGGTGGCGAGACAGTGAATACTTATTAAAAGGAATATTGGATTTACTTGTAAGATATCTGTAAGACAAGCTAACCACTTAGATTTTCATTTAGGGTAAAAACTTTTGGCTAAAAGATGTCTTGATAGATAGTGATTAGATAGGAAATCTATAGAGAGATATTTAACCTTGTAGAACCAGGATTTCTTCAGACAGACATATTAAAATCTACAGCTTAATCAAATCATCATTGATTATAGCATTATTGACATTAAGAATGATTCCAATTGACTCTATCTAATGCAGTTCCTAGCTTTTTTCCATTGAGTGCGATAAGAGCTAGACGAGGAGGAGGAGAAGGAGAAGGTGGTGCACCTTGATCACGTCACCGGGCAGCAGATGGCGTCTTGAGATTATGCCCACCTCTTCCGCAAAACCTCCTCGTAATGCCACCATCTACCTGGTGGGACCGTTTTAATGCGGCGCTGTCGATGCACTTATGCGAAACAGTTACGTTCCATTGCCCGACCCATTTAGCCAGAATAGAACCAAACAAACCGAACCGAAGCGGATCGGATGGGATGGTATGGTATGGTATGGTATGGCATGGTATGAGATCTGGAAAGAGAGGGAAGAATAGAAAACAGGTATCTGGCATTGGATTGTGAATCTCTAGCCGAAACTCTGATTGTGGTTCTCTTCGCATCGCAGTTCTGCAATTGATTATTTTCCTGTTCCAGTTCCAGTTCTTGGCCACTGGCCACATTCCAACTCCAGAGCTTCCCCCCCCAAAAAAAGAAAAGCCAATCCTCTTCTGAATATTCATGCTTGGGAATCGGGAATCGGGAAAACTCCCTTGCATTTATATATTCAAAACATGCCACGTTAAACAGAAGCCCTCACTGTTTCCCTTTGCTCTTTTCTGGCCAGAAATGCTAATTGCCTTTACATTTGGGAAAAGAAAAACTTTGTTTTCTGTGTTTTCTCAGTTTTCTGAGTTTTCTGTTTTCTGTTTTCCATTTCCATTTGAAAATCGCACGGCTTCGTGGGTTCAATGCTTGCAAGAAAGAAAGAAATTGTTTATGCATAACAATAAAATGATCCGCTGCAAGATGGTGGGATCCCATTGATAGACCGTTTACTTTGATCGCCGCCTTTGCACATTTTCGCATTTTCGCACGATCCGCTTACAACAACAACAACAATAACAACAACAGCTCACTCACTACTCACATTGCTTGTACGATGTTGCAGTTGCAACATTAATTGTTGTTAATGCTTTTCATCAAACGGTATCTGTGCTGTAATGCGAGGCCATAAAGTTGAGGATTGGCCCCCCAAGTTTTGGGGTTACCATATAGCACGTGCTGATCTCTGACTTTGTGACCCCTTGGGGTAATCCTTATAAACCTTTTGGTAGTCTTTCAATTGAGACATCTCACTTGTTTAAGATTAGCCACACAAGATCAGGCCAAAAAATTGAACCCAAAAAGAGTGTCTCTGGAGAAGAAGAATTGAAATGGAAATGGGAACGAGACAGTGGTTGGCAAGTGGCTCATTAGCATGCGTGGTTGGATGCCCATGCCCCAAAGGAGCATTGGCCTCGGGGAGCCAGTAGTGTGTACATGTATATCTGGCATTTGGCCACGCCCCCGCCGCGGCCCCCCTCTGTAAAAAAAAAAGAGTTCGAGACCAGAAAAAAGTGGAACATGAAAGTGCGTGCTGGGAATTTCACGTTTAAATTCTGCGCTAAAAGAAGACGCAGACGAGCTATGGCTCTTTTTTTTTTTTATGAGATTTGCTGCACTGAATCATGGGCCAGGGCTGGCGGGGATTGGGACGTCACCCCTTCAATTACATTACACACACACAGCACAGACACACAAACATAATCATTGCCCGGGTATAATCCGCGTGACTTGTACGATCTCTTTATACCATTTCACCCGTCCAAAAACGAAGTTTCTCTTCTTTGGGAAATGGGGAAATATGTGTGTTTGTGTGTGTGTGTGGAAATGGTCACCTGTGAGTAGCATCAATGCAATACATAGAAAACCAGAAAAGCAGCCGGAAAATCAAACAAACAAGCCAACAGCAAGCACACCGAGAAATGATTTCATTGAAATTAATTAACCCAAAAGTTGACCTCTCCTCTCCTCTACCTCTACCTCTACTCTTCTTCTTCTCTCAACACACACACACAGGCAGATATATACTTATAGAAGTCAGAAAGGTCAACAATATGCGATGGCAGATGTTTATTCTATTGTTTGGTCGTCTCTCTGGGGTCGCATAAAACAAAAACAAAAAAAAAAACAAAATAAAGGTGCAGTCCCCGCTTGTTTGTTTGTCTTTTTCTCCATGGAAGCTTTTAGCTATAATTGACTGTAAACTGAAGGGAAAAATCATGCGGGGATTAAATCATTCTATTGCCAGTTCTAGTTTTGATAGAGAAGGGTTAAATATTTCCAGATCTTATATAGCTGTAACCAAGTATCGACAGAGAAATTTCTCTTTTTTTTGGCATCGAAGCCAACCGTTATTTTCGGCCCGATTATTTGGGCCATGAGCAAAAAAAAAAAAAAAAACCGAACGACAGTTGACTCATGGAGTTGTTGTGAAGCTTGAAAAGGCATGACTAAGCCCAAGCAGACGATCCTTCCTTTAGTTTCTATTATGGTATATTATATAGATAATAGCTGATAGCTTTTGACGATATTAATTGAAAACGCACATTGATTCATCAGCAAAAACGAAAAAAAAAAACTCTCGATTACGGTGCCTTTCGCACGTGATTAAATCGAAATTGAAATGGTAAAAGTGCAAAAGTGTTTGGGGCTTCTGTTTTGGCAGTGATTTTATCGCCATCTCTCTACCAGATCCCAGCACTCGAGAGGAGGGGGGCACTTGGGTTGGTGCTCACATGCTGTGTTGATCCAAAGCCAAACGAAAATCAAATGCGCAACTACAGTGGGTAACAATTCGTATGAATTCTGATAGCATTTTTTGAAGTCATAGAAAGGTTAAAAATTGATTCCTAAAAGTCACTTTTGGTCCACTGTGCTGGCAGCGTCATTAGTTTCGAGAGAGGTGGCCATAAAAGCGGACCAACTTAACGGTTTCGTCCGTTGGTGGATAGCTTTTTGGTTTTTGATTTTGGTTGTGTTTTTGGCGCTGCTTGCCATGTTATTCTCTTACCATTTTGCCATTTAGCATTTGGCATTTCTATTTTTGGGGGGGAGCGCCCTCCCTCTTCCAAGCCAAAGCCATGCATACAGATAGACATCATCGCCATGCCGCCACGTTATGGAGAGCAAAAAAAGAGGGGGATTTGGCAGGGCATAGTCGTTGGAGTCCATCGATCTCTGAGCGGATTTGCATGAACCATCCAATCGCTGCACGAAATTGCCGGGCGGGTTATTGACAGCCATCCATCTTGCCAGCTATTAGCTATTCCTCAGCTATTAACTGAAGAGAAAAACAAAGCCAAGATCATGAAAAGCAGTTGGATTATCTATATATTAGCCCAAAGGCTTTGCTTTGCTCTGTCTTTGTCTTTAGCCTCAATTATAAGCCATGGCAGTAAAAATATCAAGAAAAAAAAAAAAAGAAGTGGAAAAACGAGAAAACACAGCAGAAGAAACAGCAAAAGATCCCAAATTGGCTTACAGGTCCGGGCATGCAGGCCAAATGGAAAGACGGGAAAAACTGTTAATGCGATAATAATTATGAGACGTCCGCCCACCCTGAAAAACAGGGAGGAAAAGCTTGCACTGCACCAACAGAAACCGAAAACGACACCCAAAATGATGCACAAATCTGCAGGCTATTGTTGTTGTTGTTTTTTTCCTTTTTTTTTTACCTTTCGCTTTTCCCGCTTTTCTTATAGTCAATTTTCACCGCCTTTCGTTGACACCGCTTTTCACTTTTTACTTTATTGTTTATGCCCGGTAATTGCTTCTTTTCCCCTACAACTTTTTTCTGTCCGTTTTTCTTTTCTTTTTTTTTCGACATTACGAAACGCTGGAGGGGATTGCGAAAACAGACTTTTGTGCAAGTGCACAATCACATTTGAATAATCGAAATGTGTGGCAACTGCTGCTGTTGTATCCACATGTGAGGTGGTGAACTGATCTGAGCAGTGGAATGACCTCCACCTCAAAAGGGGAAGACCAAAAATAGATGTCTCCGGGTTCTGTTCTGTTTTCCTCTGGCAATGACTTAATTTCGTCTTCATTTACATTTCGATTCCCATTTCCATTCCCATTTCCATTTCCGGCAGCTGTTCAGCCAAAAAGAAACAGCAGTGTGTGAACTGGAATCGGAGCCGGTGACGAGGTCTGTCTTTCCAAGGGAATAAAAAACCACAAAAATACAAACAGCAAACAAAAAATGCGAATCTAAGCCAGCGTGTTTGTCGCGCCCGCCATTCGCTCGAGTGAATCATTTTGCTAAATTTTTGTGGGTTCCGTCCAGCGGTTCCAAAAAGCAAATTTCGAGTTTCACTCGAGCGCCTCGTGACCTCGAGCGCCCGACTAGAGCATCCGGCAGATATGAAAGCCATCAAACACAAGCCAAACCACGCAAAACCGCACAGCCGCCAAGCCGCGATTCGCATCCCAAATCCCCAAATCCCAGCATTGTTTGCAATGCCTTGGGCCGACTCCTCCAGATACATTTATGCATGGCCTTCTCATCATCTCTCCATCAGCGAAATTTGTTTTTTTCTTTTTTCGAGATTGATAATGAGTCAAAAGTAAACTCTTAGTTCCTACGTTCCATTTGTCATACTTATTAAGAGTTAAACTTGTAAATATTTTGCTTAAAATTAATCATTAAAAAACATGGATGATATAGTCCGTAACCTAACAGAGTCTGTTACTCATTTCCTGATGTGGATAGCCAATGTTTTGGGGCTGTGATTCCAACCGCATGACATCGGTTAAAGATTAGAGCAGAGAAAATTCATCGAAGACCAAAATTTCTAATCTCTAATTGGAATTCCTTTACAATTACAGTGCAGCGAGCGCGAGGGCTGCTAACCAAAGGCAAGAATGGCACCAATAACTGCTTCGTCACCATTGCATTGGGCAAGGAGAAGTACCAGACGTCGGTCAAGGACAAGGCTGAGAATAGCGTCAATTGGAATGAAGAATGTGAACTGTAAGTCCTTGGAGTTCCATAAGTGATATATCCAATATAAAATTAATCTCTTTTCCTTTTTAGAAAAATCCCCGATCAAGGCAATCGCGCCGAGCTCACCTTGACCTGCCTGCACAGGAACAATCTGGGCATCGATGAGTTCCTCGGCCAGGCCTCGTTGCCCCTCAACGAGATGGACGTTTACGACCGGCCAAGGGCCAAGTGGTTTAAGCTGGAGAGCAAGCCCGGCAAGGAGAAGAAGAACAAGGAGCGTGGCGAGCTGGAAGTGCGTATCGCTTTTGTGGTCAAGTCCGGCTCGTTGACCGACCTTAGCAAGAAGGATAAGCACAAGTCTTCCATTGGCCAGCTGGCCAGTTCTGTGGGCGGCAGTTTGTTGTCCATTGGCAACGGCGAGAAGCGGCGTAGCATCAAGAAGTTAGCTGGTTCACTTAGCTCCAAGCTGCATATTCGCAGCAAAAAGAAGAACCAGGAGGGAGGAGCCGATGACAGCAGCTCCTTTGGTGGCTCATTTGCCAGCCTGGGTACGCCGAACAGCTCCAATGGCAGGGGTCAGAATGGCGGCAGTGGACGGCGACGTGGCGGTCAACGGGCAGGCGAGGCTGATCCCGGTGTGATCAGTGAAGATGAGGATGAGTTTGTCTTCGACAATCTCTCGCACAAGAGCTCGGGCAGCTCACTCAACATCCAACGTAGTGGCCTGCAGCCGCCGCCAGTCGGAACGCCCAACTTTGCGCCGCGCCATCCATCGCCCCTGCTGAGCAACGGACTGGGCGGCGCTGGAAGCGGCAGCGGGAAAGGTAAGCAAGCGGTTATGCCAGCAACGCTCGATGAGGATGCGCCCATCGATGCGGATATGGAACAGCTTGAGCTCGATTTCAGTGTCCGTGCCCATGCCCGCGCCAACGCCAGCGGAAATGCCAGCACCCTGCCGCCACCCTCGAAGCCGCCGCGCAATCCCTTGTCACAGGCGGACGAGCAGCCGGCTGCTGGAAGTCTGGAACGTGAGAAGCCCAAGGAGAAGCCAGCCGAGTTGGAGAACGAATGGGCTTCCAAGTTATATGGCGGTGGCAAGTATTTGGAAATCGGTAGCAGTGACTCCTTGAAACGTCGCAGCTGGGAGGATCGAGTGCCGCTCCCAGCCAGTGTAGAGGAGCCACCGCCAGTGCCCTCGCCCAGCTCATCGTCTAGCTCTAGCTCGGATAGCGATGATGATGATGATAATGATGAGCACCCACCGTATACAGCTCCACCACCTGTACCCGTCCTTGCTTCTAATCCCGTTCCAGCTGCTGCCGCTGTTGCTGCTGAACCAGTGGTGGCCAGCACATCCTCGCTCTTCTCCCCCGATGTTGAGCACCGCAACTTTGATACCTTTAATGCCAGCTTCGCTAAATTCGAGCAGCGCAACAGCACAGCCATCTTTGCAGATGAACCCGAGTTGGAAGATCTAACCGTGGAGCTAGAGAAGCCGGCACCCACGCCCACAGCACGCCCCAAGCCACAGCCACGTGTCACGTCCGATCTAAGGGCAGATGAGGAAAAGGCCAAGGAAGAGGCTGCGCGGCAACAGCGCGCCGAGGAGGATGCCCGCCTAGAGGCGGAGCTGCGTCTGAATGAGGAACGCCTGCGTGAAGAGGAGGCGGCTATGCAGCGAGAGTTGGAGGAGGAGAAGGAGCGCCAGAAGCAAATGCAGCTGGATGAACAGCAGCGACGCGAGGCCAAGCGCCGGGAAGAAGATCAAAGGCTTCTGAGCTTTGCCAAGCGACCAACTTCCCTTGAGGAGCCAGTCACTGAGAAGCAGGAGCTAAAACATGAAAGGGAGTTTGTTGTGACCAAGCGGGAGCAGGAGCAGGAGGTGGAAACGACAGAGCCCGAACACAACTTCCTAACTCCCGAGCAGTCGCCAAAGGAGTTCCAGACAAATGGCAGCGGCAGCGGAAATGGTGAACGCTGGGAGAAGCGGCTGGGCAAGTTCAAATATGGCAATAAGCGAGGTGAGATGATGAACCCGAGATCCGAACCAAAACCGAAACCGAAACCGAAACCAAATATCCAGGGCAACCAACCACAACCAAACTGAAATTCCTGACCTCTCCAACATAACTGGCGGCGGGCAGGGAGTTCGGCAAAAAAAAAAAAAACAAAAACGCTGGCGGATCGCGAAGGCCACACGAAACCGAACCAAGCTCTAACTTCCAGTCAACGCTGTCATCTGTCGCGTCATTCTTCTCCTTAGCGTTTCCAATGTCCCCCCTCATTGTTTCCTCATTTTTATTCCTTCACATTATACCCATCTGTATATCTGTATATCCTGTATGTTACCTCTTGGCTTGTTTTTTTTTTCTGTTGTTTTCGTTGTGTTTCTTCCATCCGCCAGTGAATTTGCATCCTTGAGCTTGAGCCAACTCAGCTCTTTTCCCCATCCGCTTGCCTTTTTGTTAGTCACCAAACTAATCAATGCCTTTTTCTATCTCAGATAAGTACAATAACGACAATGAGAGCAACTCGCCTAGTCCCAAGTCCACGGAGCGCATCATCATTGGTCACGAGAAGTCGGGATCGCATGCAGAGCGCCGGTCGGAAATATCCGCTCAGCTGGCCAAGAAGTACGAGGGCAAGTCCCGGGAGGTAAGTTTTCCACTGATATTTCTTATCTTTTCAAAATACTTATCTATCTGACATGACTAGGAACTAATGTTAATTGCCAATGGAATGGAGAATGAGGCCTTGCTGCAACGGCAGCGAGTTAAAGAGCTGGAGGACTATCTGGACAACCTGCTGCTGCGTGTGATGGAGACACATCCGAAGATCTTGCAGAATCCATATTCGCGTACCACGTCCGCCAAGAGGTACGCCAACTGGTCATTCTGGTCGCTGTCTAGAACCACGGCCACCCACTAATCAACTGCATGATTCTGACCTGCCGGTAGGATTGTTGATAGCCAATAGAGCCTCCCCCCAATCCTAACATGTGATCAAAATTCGGTGTCGTTCACGCTGGATGGGAAATGATTTTTAATATATTTTATATATATTAACTGTTATCTGTGTTTAGTCCTTAAAATTCGTCTTAAATATGAACAATCCTACTACGATGATCTGTATTGCGCTTCTCTATTAACCAACTCGTGTCTTTTGCCTACAAAATCCTCTCCACCCGCCCCCCATAAATAACTCACCACCCACACATGCCATTAACCTTTCATTGATGTGACCTCTTTTCGTTTTTTGTTCTTGTTTTTGTTTTGCCTTTGTTTTCTTCTTTTTTTTAACCGAATGCATTTTTGTGATTTCTCTTTATTTAGTTATAAAAATTACATCAATATGAATGACTTTCTAAAGTAAGTGCTGCGCATGCTGCAAGTTGCATTTAAGTAGACACTTAACCAACAAATCCCCAACAACAACAACAACAACAACTACTACAACAACATCACCAACAACAACACCACAACCCCCCCAATAAGAACAACCAACTGCAAGACAACGAGTAACAAAGAACGCAAAGGCGCAAGAACTTCGGCTTAAGGAACCATCGAAGGCGGGATCGAAGTAAGAAGAAGAAAAGTACCGATGATGACCCACTGACTTTTCACCCCATCTTCGCTGTCTTTTCGCCCCGCTCGCTTGCTCTGTCTCTGTTTAACAGCTTGCTCTCTATCTCTTTTCCTTTCGCTTGCCTGTTGTGTTGATGTTTTTCTTCCTTTTTAGAGCTTTAAGATTCCCCCACCTGCACCCACTCACCATCCACTCACTAGTACTTCTTTCTTTGGTTAAAAACTAATGTTCTTACTAAATGCCATTCGTTTTGTTTTACAGCGGTTAATAAGCCAAAAAAAACTGGTCATCGTTTAAGCCAACTGGTTCCCTAACAGCTGGAGGAGGAGATCGATGGAGCCGGTGCAGTTATGTTGTGTGAATGAAACGAAACACCAAACCAACCAAACACCACGTTGCCTTTGTCGTGAACAGCGAAATTCAAGTGCTTTCTAAATCGTAAATCCTAAGAAAAAGAGGGAAACGTAAACGTAGGCTTAAGGAGTGCAAAAATTTTAATTGATATTTTACGTAGCATTCGTTCTTCTTTGTCGTTTGCCGACCCCTTCCCTATTAAACCGAACTAAATTAATTGTACTATATATATATATACTACTACTACTACTATGTTATATCTGGCAATAACGCTGGATCATTGATTTGCCTTGATTCGAGTCCCTTTGTCGATTGATTGAAATTATCCAAAAGTATTTTGTTTATTCATTATTTTTTTTTTTTTGTATGTCAAATTTGTATTGTAATATTGAAAAGTTTTTGTAAAGTGCTGCATGGGAAGTGGCCTTAGTGGTTTAAGTCTTAAATTATTTATGTTAATAGCGGCTAAGCAAAATATGGGGGGAATGGGGGGACCTATGACCTATGTATGTCCCCTGCAAAAAAAAAAAAAACAAAAACAAACAAAAAAACACCACACACAGTTGATAAATATGTTGATACTACAATGATTTTACTTATTGATATACACGCAAACGGAATAAAAACATTTTTAACATTAATAACAGAAGAAGAGACTTGTTAATTACCTGTGATTAAGCCTGGTTTACGTTGTGGGTGTACGTAATGTCAGGTTTTAGTACTTCAATTTCGATTTCCCTCCAAAGAACGTAAAGTAAAAGAACAAAACGCCACCTGTGGATGATCTCAGCGATGTTCCTGTAAGCAGAGAAAGCAATGAGCTTTAGTTCATTTTTTCTGAGCAAACTTTACTTAATTTAACTTATTGAATCCACATTGCATTGGTGCTGTGTAAGTAGTTGCCAAAACTATAAATTATAGATTATGCCATAAATATAATTAAAAGAAATAGTAGAGTTTTTGCTACCTTAGAGTGTGCAAAATGCATATTTTACATATTTTACTTTTCTGTTTCCATTGAAATTTACATTGGCGTTACTTTTGACATTGAAAGTAACATTTTACACTACAGTTGACATTTCAGATCGCCGTTGAAGTTAAAATTAAAATTGGCATAGAAAAACATTAAAATTCAATTTTATTGGGAATAATCTCTTCTTAAGATGAAAATATCTTTCCAGCAAGCATCTCTTTTAAAATCTGAGAACAGGAAATAGTCTCTAAAAGCAGTTTAAAGCCCAGTTTAAGATTGGCATTGTCATTATTTATGGCAAAAAGTAAGTTCACGCGTAGGTACATCACGTAAAACATCGTTCACGCGTAGGTACATTGACACTCACGTAAACACTGCATACTTTCAGACAGCATAAAGAGACAGAGAGATAGAGAGAGCTGGATCGTGTATGTGGAATGTGGATCGACAACGTCATTGGAATCCCAAGAGAGCCGCTCCTAACTGTCGGCGTATAGAGGCAACGCCATGGCCGAGCGTCCTCAGTCTCTCACAGCCAGCGAATAGCTGCGCATCGTTGCGATCGGTCGCCAAAAAGAAAATCAAGCCGAGGAAAACGTATTTCCACTTGCCTGAACCATATTTTCCTGGCGTTGCTCGCGACGGCCGAAATACAGAATAAAAGTGCAGTGTATCTATCATCTCTCTCGTCGAATTCTCAGTTTCTGAGATCCGTACTCGATTCTCGTATATATTTTTTTTTCCAATTTCCAATCAATTTTTTTTTTCCTGTTGCGCGTTATTTGGCAGTGCGAAAAAGAAAGAAAGAAGTGCTAATTGTGCAATTGATTGACAAAACGATCGATCTTTAAATATCGTTGGCAGTGCGAGCGAGGATCACTATACTAGATCATTTCGATCCATTGAAAGTGCTCGCGTTTCTAACGAGCAAAACATGAAGTCTGCCGTCGCGAATTGAATGTGGCATAAATCTAAGGAAGGCAGGCAGTCAGCTAAAAAGAGCAGCAGACGCAGATCATCATCGCAGATCATCATCGCAAACAACAAACAAACGAGTGAAGAAGCGAAAAAGTGAGTGATTTATTTAGTATTGCAAAGTCACAGTTAGAGTTACAGTCACAGTTAGAGTCACAGTCAGAGTCAGAATCACAGTTAGGGTCACAGTCACAGTCAGAAGTCAGCAAGAAGCTCAGGTTATTATTTTGATTTATTTTTTATATTTTTAATTATTTTGCAATCTTAACCACGCCGGCAGCTCTGAAGCCCTGAAAGCAATGCCCACTTGCATGAGGAGATCTCTCATCTCCCGATCTACGGATCTTCTGGTTATGCTATATAATGCTATATATGTTATGTTATGCTTTATGGCTTATGGTTATGACTGTCTGTTCTGCTTCTGCTTTATGCTTTATGCTTTATGCTTTATGCTTCAGATTCTGTTTCTGTTTCTGTTTCGGAAGCGGCTGCGGCGGCGGCGGCGGCAATGATGATCTCCGGATTCATGGGGCAAGTTAAAGGGGAGGGGTTAGGCGCGGACACCGAGGCAGACACACCGAAATGGAATGGAATTGAATTAAATCAAATGATAAAAAATATAAATCGAGTGTAGAAACAGAGGCAGCCCTCTGTGCGGTGGCAGAAACAAAAAGACACGGAAAAAAAGAAGCGAAAAATCGGAATTGGATCCGCGCGAAAAAAAAAAAATAAAAAATGCCAGAAAAGTAGAGAGAAAAGCCGAATCTGAATCTGAAGCTAAATCCAAAACCAGAATCAGAATCAGAATCAGAATCAGAGAGAGAGGCAATCATAATCACAGAACCCCCCATACAGGGCGGACAACTGACGAGATGGATGGACAGATTGGCTGTGCCATTGGGGGGCTTACAACTACAACTACTACTCCGACATGTATACAGTTGCAGATACAGATACAGTAAGAGATACAGATACAGTTGCAAAAACAGATACAGATACAGATACAGAAACAGATTCAGATAGGGAATACAGCAACAGCAAACAGGAAGGAGGAGATGCAAAGGGTAAACCGGAGACAACGGCATCCGCACTTGTTGGTCTGCTCCTCGGGCTCTCTCTGCTGGCTCTCAGGCTTTGCCCTTTTACTAATATAAAATAGGGAAAAACAAACTCCCAACAATTCCAAATGTTGCTTACATAACAACATAAACCTAGGGTTATATACAAACAGATGCTACTGTACTTGTTAGGCCTATACCAGAAGATTGATTGCATTTTTCCAGTTTGCCGCTAGAGAAAACTCAAACTTTCCCTCTCTAGAATTCTAGATCTTAACTAGACTTTTTTTGCACTTTAAGTTTTGGGGCCTCACGCCAGATGTCATGTTCTTGTTGTTCCAGTTGCTATTTGTTTCTGGGCAGGAATAACATTCGCCAGGCCCGGCGCACACTTGAGTAAACACCAAAAGTGATTCACTGGCCATTTTCTGTTGATCCTAACCAGAGCACACCTGATGATGGGCGGTTGGCCAAGAACGGGGGACTATCTCCTAACTTTCGAATTTGAAATTCTACTTAAATTTACTACTCAAATGCCAAATGCCGCTTGATCGGGTTGCGTTCCCAGCTAGCAGAATCTGCTGATGATGCTGCTGCTGCTGTTGCTTCTCCTCCTCCTCTTCCAGCTCCTCCATCTCCTCCTCCATCAGCGTTGTTTTTTCATTAAATTCCCTGCTCGTTGCCCCATGAAAAGTGCTTAATGGTTTTGTCGCGTTTTGGAATTTACACAACAGAGAGAAAACAAAAATAAAAGCAAAAAAAAAAAAAAAAAAAAAAAAAAAAAAAAAAACGTTCAACCGCAGATTCAGAATCATAAAATTCGTGAGCGTTCAGCTGACAGTTTAATAAATGCCACTGCCTCTCGCTCTGGCGCATTCATCAGCTTCCATTTGCTGTTGCTGTTGTTGGTTGGATTGCTGAGGCTGCACAAGTGGGCGGGAGAGGTTGAGCATGGCTCTTCAGTTCCTCTTGTCCAGATTCTAGCAAGAATCAGAGTCAGTCGTTGGAATTCTTCATAAAATAAACAAAAATTTGAGACTCGCCAAACGGTAGAAAATCGTTTAACCAGCATTCTTTGGGATGATTCTTAGAGACTTGGAACTTCGAGTTTAATCAGTTTTTGTTAATGATTTGGGTTTTAGTCTTAGAAGAGGTCTAAATCTTTCTTTTTTTTAAGAGAATTCCACTTTTTCTAGCTCAAATTACTTTCTCAGAGCTCTTTGGGCAAATGCTATTGACAAGGCCCTTGTTCTCGTCTCCTATTCCCAGACTTATTTACACTTCACTTCAAATTTCAAATGGAAAATCACTTTTAACTTATATTTACACTATATCTTGTAAGCCAAACCTTCTTTATTTAAGTTTTAGTTGTTGAGAAACCCTTAGGTACCTCAGTAACCTTTCTCCTGTTTGCATATAACCCCCCCTCGACCTGTTTAAATATCATGTTCTAGTGACTTTTCCTAGAGAACCTCTAAACCATAGCAACCCAATCCTAACCAGGCCAAAACTAGAACCCTCTTCTTTGGCAGCGCCAAGATCATGACTTCACTTATTGCTGCCACATCTTAGCACGCTGCATGCTGCATGTTGCAAGCTGATTCCGTTTGATGTGCATTTTATTTTCAGGTCGCAAGTTAAAAATACGCCAATCCCTCTCTCTCTCTTTCTCTGCTGGTGCTTTATATTCTTTGGCAGCAACAACGGCCAGCTGCTGGCAGAGGGGAAAAGGGAAAGGCAAAGGGATGCGTGGAGACCATCATCTCCTCTTCCTCCTCAGGCAGGAGGCTCCTCTTCAGCCATCCTTCCTTTGGACATTTTGGTAATTGCATTGGAAATGCGGGACGGACTTGCCTGGTTGGCCATTCATTTGACCCATTTAGAAAGGCACCTTCTGGCTGCTCCCCACCGCCTTTTCTCCTTCTTCAGTTTCTCCGCCTTCTGGGGCAAGTCGCGCCTCAGCCTCAATTAGTGCAGCATGAGAGACAAGAAAAAAAAAAGAAAAAAGAAAAACGCAACATGATTTAAATTGCTGTCACTGTCAGTTGTCAGACAACGGCGACAACATCAGCAGCAGCAACAGCAGCAGCAGCAGCACCAGCACGAGCTACAAAAAAGAAACAACAGACAGACAGAAGACAGCAAAAGTATCTTCTAGATACATGGCTGCTGACATAATAATCTCCTCGCCCAAGACTACCTACCTACCTACCTACCCCTTTATTCTTCCGCCTCCAGTCTTGGCCAGAAGTCAGCCAGCCAGTCAGCCAGCCAGCCACATGGTCTAAAAATGAGCTGCTCTGGGAAGCCACTACCATTCGCCATCAGCAATTCCGCTGTCACTCAAACTGTCCGAGGACTGGCTGCTTGTCTTTAGCTTGCCGAGATCAGTGATCGCTTTTGGGTGCCGCAGCCATGATCCACATTCGGTTAAGCAATATGAAAAATAGTATATATATATATATATATTCTTGTATATGAACGATATACTCCTCCTTATGAATTCGCACAGAGAAACTATTCCATATGGTTAACAATTCAGAGCACGATCTCTGGCACTATTTATGGCTGGATGGGGATGGGAATGGTTATGGCTATGGCTTTGGCTTTGAAGGCAGACTGTCTCTTAGAATCACGATCACGATCACGATCACGATCAGAGTGGGTTGTGGGTGAAAGCATATCACTTCAAACCGGAACTATATTATATTTATGTTTTGGACAGGTTTTTTTTTTACCAACAACGAAGACATTGCATTGGGAAATAAAATCTAATCAGCCTAGGCAAACGAGCTTTTAATGAGGGGGAGTCTAAAGGAGGTGGAGGGCAGAGGAAGTGGCAATACCTTCTATGGTGTTTCCGATACAAAAATTCATTTGATAGCAGGCTTATAAGTATAGCCTGGAACCACTTGTCTCGCTGCTCATGCTAATGAGCTCTGGCACTGGCCTCATGTTCAAATTGTCAATTGATCGGCAATTCCAATTTTATCCGATCAATACGGCTAACTCAATCCATCCGCTTGAACCTAAACCCGAACCCGAACCGGCACCGACACCGGCACCCGCACCCAGCTATCTTTCTCCTGCTCTTTCTTCTGCTTGTTCCCCCTACTCTATGCTTGCATACCACCCTAACCCCACCCGCTGTTATGGTGACGGTGGCCATAATGGTTGATTTTAATTAAATATTTCTTCTTCCTGTTGTTGTTTCCCTCGTTCGCATTTGGTTTTGCTCTATGGCATGGCCATGGCGTAGGCCCCCCTGTCCCTGTCCCTGCCTCTGCCTCTGTCCCTGTCCCTGCCTCTGTCCCTGTCCCTGTCCCTGTCCCTGTCCCTGTCCCTGTCCCTGTCCCTGTCCCTGTCCCTGTCCCTGTCCCTGTCCCTGTCCCTGTCCCTGTCCCTGTCCCTGTCCCTGTCCCTGTCCCTGTCCCTGTCCCTGTCCCTGTCCCTGTCCCTGTCCCTGTCCCTGCCCCTGTCCCAGTCCCTCTCCCTGCCCCTGTCCCTATCCAATATTCCCCCTTCCTTCCCCTTTACCTTCCATCCATCCGCTTCCCGATTCCCGCTTCCCAGGGCGTGACAAGTGCACGACCCCACCACTCCCCCATCCCTCATGTATATACACCATCCAATCCCATCTAGAGCTGGTGAATGGGTTGTGATTGTGGCAAAGTCAGAGAAAAGGGAAGCCCAGATTTTCCAGGGAAAAACCTCGTAGCGTTGTTTTCTTCATTTCGGGATGAACCTAACCCTAGGTTAGGGATATTACTTCTTTGGTGAAACGGAAGTGGCCAGTGCCAGCTCTCTCTCTCTCTCTCTCTCTCTCTTTTTGGTTCCTTGACTTTCTTGCCTGCCACTTGACTTGGCTGTCGCGTTCGCGGCATAAATAATAATCGCTGTCTATAATAGTTTGTCGTTAATGCGGCAAAGGAATCGAATCGAATCTAAGGAGGAGGAGGAGGAGGAGGAACAGTCCAACTGGCAGCATAAACAAATAGTAGAGGAAGAGGAAGAGGATGAGGATGAGCATTGAACCCAAGCCGAAGCCAAAGCCGAAGCCGGTGCCGCTGTGGAAGGGCAAAGAGTAGATAGCACCCAGCACTCGCCATCATTAAAGTTGATTGCAAACTGTACGCATTTATGATCACCATATAAACCACATCAACGCTATGATCATGATGATGATAATGATCATGATGGTGATAATGATCATGATGATGATCGCCATCATCATGATGATGAGGGAGATGGCGTCGCATTATCAGCATACAGAAACATATTAGCATGCCTATGACCGTTGGCCGTTTATTAGTTTGCCGTTGCGCGAATTATTTTTATGTAGAAGATGGCTTCTGGTCTCCAGCTGGTTCCTAAGTGCCTACAATATCAATAAGCATCAGTAATAGTAGTAGTAATAGTAGTAGTAGTTTTTTTTTTTCCCAAGCAAAGTTTTTCCCATGGGAAAACTGTGCAGCTGCTTCCCATCAAAGTTCGCTCATAAAATAAATTCTCTTTCTTTTTTACTTGCAGATGATGCCGCCAAGACTGCCAGGCAGCAGCCATGGTTTAGCGATGGATAGAAGCAACAACAGTGGCCACCACTTAACGCATACGGCGGCAAACACAACGTTTCACAAGCGCCGACGAAGGCGACAACCAACCAGCCACAGTCACATCAGCCTAAGTCATGGCAGCTATTTGGCCCTGCTCTTGCTATCCACCACCTGCTCTTTGGTGGCCACCAGCACAACCATCACTTCTTCTTCATCCACCACCTCTGACACAGACACAGGCCTTGCGCCAACGGAACCTCCGACGGCCAGTCAAATGGCCATCTCCTCCAGTTCACCTTGCAACCCACAGCATTGGTGGGATTCGCAGCGAGATCGCTGTACTCCTTGCACTCGCTGCCAGGGCGAGATGATACCACTACGTCCCTGTCAGCTGCACACGGACACTATCTGTGGTTCCATCTACGATCTTAAGATCGATTGGGTTGTCCTGGCCAAGACCGAACCTAACTGGAAGGAGGTAAGTCTGGCTATCAAGAGGAAATTTAGCCAGAAATTAAAGTTAACTTCTTTCCCATAGCGCCGAAAGTCCTCGGAGTATGAGCACTTCGATCACAATGCTCCACTGCAGCATCTGACCCATGAGCAACTGCAGCAGCTGCACGAAGAGGCGGCCGCTGCCTGGGCTCTGGACTGGCAGACTGGTGTCCTCTATGTGGCGGTGCTCACCTGCCTGGTCTTCTTCTCGGTGGCAGCCTGCATCCTTATCCATCATATGCGCCAATGGCGCCGCATGGAACGTCGCCTAGATCAGGGTAAGTTAATGGGTTTAGATCTTTGTTAGCCTTAGCTTTAGGCCTAGTTTCCCAGTTTGACAAAGTGATTATTTTTCACACGCTCCCGGGCACATTTCACCTGCTAAAAAGCAGCTCTACAACGATCCCCCTGCCCTTTAGCCAAGGCTAATTTCGAATTCAGAGCTCGTTGCTTGGCCAAGGGCCCCAGCGACAGAGTCCCAAATCCCAGCCAGAAATCTTTGCCTGCTTGGCATGCTCAACGATTGGCTTTGGTAGGGTGGTGGTGGGGGAGGAAGAGGGAAAGGGCATACATATTTATAAGACAACGACGACGGGCCCAGAACACGACACTTTGATGTATGAAGGCCCGCCATTCCAGTCGACGTCCAGTCGAATCTCTTGGCGGCATCGCCGCTGCTATTGTTGCTGTTCCAGCGAAATTGTTGCACGATCAGCTGGCCAGCAAGCCAAGTCAAGTCGATCTGCAACACCAAAGCGTACATATTAACAAGCAACAAGGGAGCCAAGGTAGGACTGGACTTCGCCTGTGCCAAAGTAGAACGATATGTCCAAAAATCTTTTTGGCGCATGCGAGTCGCGATTTGCATGCCAAATGGCGAGGACAATTAGCAGGCAGTGTGGGTCTTTGCCATGTAGAACTTGACCGAAACATGTCCATGGTTTTGAAGGTACAGTTGCTCTTGGCAGTAGAAGGATCAGGGCAAAAAACCTGAAAGTCCAATGGGGAAAAAAGAGTTTCTATCGCACAGACGCTGGCCACATGTTGCCATCACATCCTAGTCTTTCATCCTCGTCTCCGTTGGAGCAACCCCTCCCACACACCCAGAGACCCAAAGATTTATGCCGTGTTTTGATATGGCTTCTTGTTGATCTCACCCGGAGATGTTGTTCTCCATTTAATCATAATTCAGGGCGTGTCGACACAACCACGTCGTCCCACGCTGCGGCGTGTCCAGCGTGGAAAATTTATGGATCTGCAGCTGTTTTGGCCGAATGTGGGTTGGGTGGGGGGCTTAGATTCGTAGTAGGCACTTGCAGTAGCAGCAGCAGGAAATGAATCTCGGAAGGGCAGGTAAAAATCTCAGGTCTACTCTTCCTCTTTCATACCCAACACGAACTACGATGAGTATCTTTCCCCCTTCCGTTCAAGGACAAGCGGATGTTTGTTGAAACATTTCCGCGGGCATGTGGAGAAATTCCAAAATCATGTCACACAAGCCATGGGGAAAAACATGTTTTCCATGACACAAACATAGAGGCACATACACACACACACACACACACGCACACCCATATACACACACAGCAGGCAGGAAACGAAGAAAATGCCTAGGGAAAAGTATGCATGTTTTCGGTGCAACAGAATTCGGTCGGTGATCATCGACAGATTTAAAATAAAGTGACAAGCGGAGGAAAAAAAAGGGGCAGAACGGGGCAGGGCAGGGCAGGGCAGGGCTGCACTTGAACCGGAGTTTCTCCCGCTAATGGTAATGTCGGCTCCCCCGTCCCCTCCCCCTTCCCAGCTTCCGCCTGCAGAAGGGATCTCTATAAATATATATATAAATACAGTTTAGAGTTTCCCCCCCTTTGGCCAAATGATTGAACGGCTACCAGCTGCTGTGTCTTACAAGCGGGAAACTGGGAAGGTGCAACTGCAACACTTTCCGTTCAAGCGCATCATTGACAATTGGGCATCCGCATCCTCCTCATCCGCTTTGGAAAAAGAAGGGAAGTCTTGGCACGCGCTTGCTGGAGAAGAAGGAGAAGGAATCTCACTCGTACCAGGCACAGGCGATAAATATTCGCGCAAGGCAACTGCCACAGAGAGCGTTGTTGTAGTGGCAGAGAAAAGAAAATGTTGCACATGTTTTGGTGGATGCCTTTCTGGATTTTGCTCTTGCATTTCCTTCTTTCTACATGTTTTTCGCACCACTGCAGCAGCAGCAGCAAGCAGCCCATTTCCATAAATAGAACGGAAGATCGCTGGTACATCTTACATTTTGAGAAAGAAAGAAAGGGCCTGGGAAATGGCTTTTTGCCATTTTTACCCATTCATCGATTTTTTTTTTTTTTTTTGGCCCAGTTTAGCGAGTCCAGCTGTGTCGATTCATAAAAACTTTCGCCTTGTTTATGGACTTTGTGTAGAGAGTTCATCATTATTTGCTTCCTGGACTTTGATTTTCCACGCTGCCCTCCGTTTATGTTCACTAATCTTTTCCGTGGAAAAGCAGCAGCAGCCGAAGTAGCAGCATCGTTAGCCGTGCCCCAAACAAAAACGCACCTCATTTGGCTGCCTCACATATGTATGACTCTATGTATGTGTGGCTAGAAAATAGGAGAAGAAAAAAAACAACCGAAAATCCAATTGAACTGCGCAAATTTGAAAATTGTTTTGGCCTCGCTTGGCTTTTCCGTTTTCCTTTTCCATTTTCCATTGCCGTTGTTTTCTTTTCTATTTTCCAAGAGATTTTATTGTTCGCGCTGCCGCTGGCCGATTTGTTTATAATAAAAGGCGTTGAACGATGGACCCAAAGGAAAAAAACAAGACGCACATCATCCACGGCCAGGCGGGCGGGCGCTACTCTTTTTCTTTTTCACTTGGGCAATGGGAACTTAATTTTCCATTTTCGTTTTTCCCCTACATCTACCTCTTTCCCGCCCGCCAAATGGCAGTTTATAAATAAATGATAAATTATCTACTGCTGGCCTCGTTCACTGGCCGATCGCCCGCCCGCCCACTGACTTTTCCACTGGCTAGCTGGCTAGCTGACTGCCTGCCTGGCTGTTGGAAAATCGCCTCTTGTTTACAATTTGCAATCCGGTTATGGCCATTGATTTCCTGTGTGGCACCTAATAAACATTTTAATTTAAGCATCGATCGAAGGCCCTCCTGTCCCGGGGGGTCAGCAAGAAAAAAACAGATCGGAAAAAGGGGTTTTCCACATGCAAATCTTTCACTCACTCACTTCTCTGTCTTTATCTACTTTGCCATTGCAGATGTGGAGGAGCTGTCAACCAAGCTGATGGCCAAGCTGGCGGAGGTTCAGAGCCTGGACGGTGGCACCTTCTTCATTGGCAATGCGGATGCCTTGCGTGGCCTGCCCTCCGCGGCAACGGCGACGCATGCATCAGCAGCAGCTGCAGCAGCGACACAGTCGGGTATCTTCCAGCCGCAACACGTGCTGCTGCCTGGTAAGTGTTGTCCTAGTTGGATAGATTCTGGCATCTCCTTTTGCTAGCTTCCCGACCGAGGTCAGCCACTTGAGTAGCTTGGCAGGAGGCGTTGCATGGCCATGAACTCTCAGCGGGAAAAGGCTAGCCTTAGGGGAACAAGAAGAGTAACTAATGGTTGGGTTTTTAAGGGATTTGCATAGCAGTCAGGGGATATAGCACATTGGATATATTATATAGCTATATATCTGTATATTCAGGGATGTAAAAGAAAGATTTTCTAGGTAAATTTCAAAAGAAGAAAAGTAATAGCTTTCAAATTTAACGATTAAAAGGCTTCTTAAACACGATTTGAGATGATCTTGTGAGGTTATACATTTGTATATATAGCATTCCATGATCTCTGATTTGAGATCTCTGATCTGTGATCTGTGATTTCTGATCTTTCTGAACTGTGATCTCTGATTTCTGACTTCTGATCTCTGATTTCTAATCTCTGATCTGTGATCTCTGATTTCTGATCTCTGATTTTTGATCTCTTAAGTGCGATCACTGATCTCTAATCTCTGATTCCTGATCCCCGATCTCTGATCTCTGATCTCTGATCTCTTATCTCTGATCTCTAAACTGCGATCACTGATCACTGATCTCTAATCTCTGATTCCTGATCCCCGATCTCTGAACTCTAATTTTTGATCTCTGATCTCTGCTCTCTGATCTCTGATCTCTGATCTCTGATCTCTGATCTCTGATCTCTGATCTCTGACTTGTAATTTCTGATTTCTGATTTCTGATTTCTGATCTCTGATCTCTGATCCCTGATCCCCAATCTCTGATCCCTTAACCAATCTAGTTACCACCATAAAGCTTCAGTTTCCTGACCCCAAAAACTTTCCTGGGGGTCTGCAAAACCCCAAAAAAAAAACAGAAAAACCGAAATGCAAATGAAAACGATATCGAAGAGGGTGACTGGAATTTAAATGATGGCTTGGCTGGCTGTCACTCGATTTCGACAGCCTGTGGTATCAACGCCTGTGGCCTGCCCAACTCATCCAATCTTGATCTTCTCATCTTCTTGCAGAGAAACGTGGCAACAAGCACCAAGAGCGACGGATCCTGAAGGCCCTGCAGCCCGGCAATGTCTACATTGAGGAGAGCAACGCGGGCCTGGGCATGGGTCTGGGGGGCATGCGGGGCTGCGCTGGTCCCAAGGGATGAACAAACACGCTAACAAGGCAAGGGGGACATACTTAAGGAGTGGCTAAGGAGTAAGCATGATCCGGAAAAGGAAGAGGAACCCCCCCTAGAACCGGATAGAGATGAACTTTTGTACAAACAGCCGCTTAAAGAGGGGGGACGAGAGAAAAGGGAAAACCGAAACTATTATTATTTTTTATATTATTAATCTTATTCTAATTATAACGAATATTTTTTTTTTTTGTCCTAATATTTAATGAAAATCGTTATGTTGACTTGTTTGTAATGCGGTGGACGTTCCCCGTTGTGTGGGGGAGGAGAAGGAGGAGGAGTCGTCGAAGTCCGAGCGATGCGGCAGAATGTTTTGTACATAGAAATGAGGCAGATGTGGCAGCCACCCACAAATATATATATATAAATATGATTAAAACGATTATGATTAACAAATTTCTACTTAATGTAAATATTAGGGCGATCGAGATCGACAAAACCCATGCGAAGCAAACGTAACGAGATAACGTAACGCAACGTAACGTAACGTAACACGAAACCAAGCAATATCGGCAACATATCAGCTACTATATATACCGCATATTGTTAATATCACCCTTAACTGATGATATATGGTTACCATATACCTATATCCTGATTACCCATTTCACCACCCCACCCCCCTTATATGTAACCAAGTTAAAAATATCAAAAATTAAAAAAAAAAAAACACACAAAAACGAAAGCATTTTCCGGCTAGCTGCTAACCGAGCTTAATCGAATTAACTGTAATTGTAACGATAATGATAAAGATATTACAGATATAACTACTTATTATAATGCTAATTAACGGATAACTATATAGTTAGGAAGAAATGTCTATGTCCTAAGTGCTATCAGTGTGCAAACAGCAATAAAAAGTTCTATGATTATACGAAATGCGATGCGTTTTAACTTTTACTTTTGATGGCTAAAAAGGGTTAAATTATATATAGATTAAGGTGTATATATATTATATTTTAAAGAAGTTTGATTGGTATGACTAAAGCTGATTGGATTTTAGGAAAGTAAAGGAGGTTAGCTGGGGAAAATCTTAGGATTTATGAACTAGAAATGGTCTCTTAATGAACTTTCAAGGTTAAATTCAGTTTTCAAAAACCAAAAAAGATTCAAAAGCAGTTTACAGATTGAAGAGGCCTAGATTTCCGATCTTAAGAAAGGAGGTTAGCTGGGGAATATCTTAGGATTTATGAACTAAAAATGTTCTCTTATCAAACTTTCAAGGTTAAGTTGAGTTTCAAAAGCAACAAAAAGAGATCCAAAAGTTTACAGATTGAAGAGGCTTGGTTTTTCGATCGCTTCTTGAGTAAACAGTTTTCCGATCTTAAGAAAGTAAAGGAGGTTAGCTGGTGAACATATTAGGATTTATGAACTAGAAACGATCTCTTATCAAACTTTCAAGTTAGTTGGGAAAAATCTTAGGATTTATGATCTAAAAATGTTCTCTTATCAAACTTTCAAGGTTAAGTTCAGTTTCAAAAGCAAAAAGAGATCCAAAAGCAGTTTACAGATTGAAGAGGCCTAGTTTTTCGATTGTCCCTTGAGTATATAGGTTTCCGATTTTAAGAAAGTAAAGGAGGTTAGCTGGATAAGAGCTGATGAGTTATGAACTGAAAATGATCTCTTACCAACCTTTCAAGGTTAAGTTCAGTTTTCAAAAACCAAAAACAACCCAAAAGCAGTTTACATATTAAAGAGCCCTAGTTTTTCGATCTTCTCTTGAATATATAGATAATATATATATATTCCCAATGATCTACCCAGCAAGTTCTTCACTGGCCCCAGCGTGTCTACAACAATCTCAGCATCGTCATAATGGATCTGTCGCCTTGGAGCCATCTACATCTCAGTATACAACGCAACACATGTAGGTTTATGCATAATTGCATGTCTATAGATGCCACAGATATATATATCAGAGAACGTCAAGGGTGTCTTTTTTCGGCACCCGAATCACACTCATACATTTCGAGTGTGTGTCGCACTCATGAACAACAAGAAAAGAGCACACACCCTGAGTGCACAGATCGCTTTGTGCGTTTAGGGTGTTTGCGTTTTTGACACCCGCTCAATTCTAGGCACATGAGTCTAATGCACAGACACCCTAAACACTCATAGCAAATGAAGCGAGTGTCTGAGACACCCATGATTTTTGGGAAAGTGAGTCGGGTGTCTTGAAAGTGAGTCGAGTGTCTCGAGATGAGTCGAGTGTCTCGAGATGAGTCGTGTGTCTTGAAATGATCTGTGTGTTTCGGGTGTCTTCAGCTGTATTGCATGAGCAGGTCATTGAGGGTTGGCCGAATAATTTTACATGAAAGGAAGGAAGGAAATCCCAATAATGGCCCTTAAAAAAGGCCAAATATTTTAGGATTTTCCATGTCAAGCCATCTACCTGTTATTCGCAGTGCAATTGACTTATGATCTGTATTCTCATACGAATCTGCAAAAAACGGGAATACATTTGCAGGTAGATTGGTTTGATAACAACACGGAAAATCCTAAAATATTGATGCAATGTACGTTTTTTTTTTTGGGTTTTTTAAGACTTTGTCATTAAATATTTGTAATGATTATAAACTCTTATTTTTTAATATTAGTTACTGAAGACGGCAATAATTTGTATTATTAGAAATATACTTTTCTAATATTAAATTATTGGGATTTCCTTCCTTCCTTTCATGTAAAATTATTCGGCCAACCCTCAATGACCTGCTCATGCAATACAGCTGAAGACACCCGAAACACACAGATCATTTCAAGACACACGACTCATCTCGAGACACTCGACTCATCTCGAGACACTCGACTCACTTTCAAGACACCCGACTCACTTTCCCAAAAATCATGGGTGTCTCAGACACTCGCTTCATTTGCTATGAGTGTTTAGGGTGTCTGTGCATTAGACTCATGTGCCTAAAATTGAGCGGGTGTCAAAAACGCAAACACTCATAACGCACAATCCGATTTGTGCACATTCAAAATGTGCTGTGCAAGACACTCACCCTTATTTTAGGGTGCCGATCACACTCTGAGTCCCGAAAAGGCACATATGATTCGAGTGCACTCATTGTATGGGTGTACCCTTGCCGTTCTCTGATATATATATAAATATATATCTGAGTAGGGAGGAGGAGTGGCAAATGGGAACGGCAAACGCTGAATGCTTGCCCAGGAAACGTCTTTCAGTGGAAATGAAAATGAAAATGGAAATAGGCAAAGCGGGCCTTCGCCTCTTGCCTCTTGCCTCATCCCCTTTATATTCTCTAGCATTTGGGTGCACTTTGTATTTGGCATTTGCATTTTTACAGAATTGTCTCCAAGTTAACATTGAAAATGGTCAGCGACAACAACAACAACAACAACAACAATGAGGAATGCCTTTGCATTTATTAATGTTGCTCGTTGTGCAGTTACACAATCCTAAACGATGTCTGGCTATAGTCGTACATATTATTATTGCTAATAATATTTTGTAAAATGAATTTTTGTATAGATGGCGACGGGCCGACTGCAAAACGCGCAGAAAATTTCCAATGGAAAGCTAAAGTGGATACCCCTTATACCCAACCCAACCAACCAACCATCCATCCATCCTATCCCATCCCGTATTGACCATTCCGCGCACGGAACACGAGAGTTTCTGATGGAAGATTGCCCGCCCGCCTAGCCATGGGCCTGATGGCCTGGCCAGCAGAAATTAATTAGCCGCGACGTGGCATAAATTAGCAGCCAGCCAGCCCAGGCAAAGCAAAAGAGTTCAGAGTCTAGTTTTTTTTTTTTTTTTTTTTTTTTTTTTGCTACGGAAAGAGAAATGCTAGCCCAGGGCTAGGGTCTAGTAGGTGGTATCCGCTTACATCTGCAACAGCTAGATGGCGCCTTTAGTTCCGATTTCACTTAGTAAGCTTCCCCCTGCTACCGGATCTTCCAGAACCAGCTGCCGCGGCACATGCCAAACTCATTTTGTAAAAATATTTTTAACATTCAGAAGAGGAGGTGGGCGAGATGCATTGTCGCAGCTGCTCGAGAGATGCACTTGAGTTGGATGAGTCGTAAAAAGCAACAAAAAGCGGAAGGAAGTGGGCATTAGATACTAGATCCCATAAAGTCATTCGATGTTTGGAAATTAATAGCCCATGGGGCCTACTCCAACCCCTGTGGCTGTTTTTGGGAGGGAGGAACGTGATTGCCAATTGCTCAATGAATCAAAAATAGCGCCACGAGTGCGGCACTTGAATGGAGAATGTTGAATATTGAATGGTTTAACGCTGAAGGGGATTAAGCTATTGAGCGATCGGGTGACCAGAGACTTCGAAGCACGGAACAGGGCAAGCTTTGGAATGCGCACGTCTCTGGGTTTTTGGAACTCAGCACTCAGCACTCAGCACTCGCCACTTGGCACTTGGCCATCGGGCAATGGCAATGGCAACCTGTCCAAATGCGGTCAACATGGCATTTGATACGCTTTGCCGGCCCATTTGGACTTCGATTTCGATTTGGATTTCATTTTGGCCATAGTGCTGCGGGGTGATTGTGCGATTTTTGGCCCGTTTCCGTTGGCCGAGAAACGAGCCAATCCACAGCGACGGAAATGCAAAATGGAAAAAATTGCAAAACGTTCGGGAAATAGCCGGGCAGGGGGCAAAGAAAGCATGCTGATGGGAAAAACAAACAAGCATATGCGGGAAAACCTAAGCGGAAAGTCAACAGGAAATGAGTTTTTTTTTTTTTTTTTTTTACGTTGGTTAATTTGCTGAATGGAAAATCCAGCCAAGATCTGCGCAACCAAAGCTGAGGAGGGGTCTGGAAATGGAGTATCTGTATCTGAGGAACTTTAAAAAGCATTCTAGCTATGGATTCTTCCTGGTTTGTGTATTGACTAAGCGAGTCCTGGCAATATTTGACCAACAGATGACGCCAGGTGTACTGGAATTGAGATGCTGTGGCAGCTTCCTCTCCCTCCCCCTCCAACCACTCTATTTTTTTTTCGAAAATAAGTTGTTTAAACAAAGGCATCCCCTGTCATGACCCGAATCACAGTAAGCCACTTTCCCGAGAGAGGCCTACCTGTGGTCCTCTGTTCTCCTCTATCCGCCTGCCTCCTGCCCGCATCCTTTTTGTATCCTTTGTGTAATTGCACGTTGCGGCACGCGAAATTAAACAGAAAGATAGCTCAAGTGGGTTTGCAGGAGGGGGGAGATGCGGATTGGGATGAGCAGATAATGAAGCTGGTTGGAGTAGCAAGGAGACGGAGACGGAGACCCATAGCTCGAGGGGCTGGCTAAATGGCGAAAGAATGACAAACGCCCAGAAGGAGCAAAACTTTGCGTTCACAGCAGAAAAGTTAGCGCTGGGCGGGGTAGGGGGGAGTGGCTTGGGAGTGTCATATCTCTGGCGACGTCTATTGTTCCCAAAAGTGTTTTTATTTAGCTTGGCCAGCTCAAGGAGGCAAGGAGACCTCACCAACACCAACACCATCATCATCATCATCAACAGCATCTCCTCCAAAGCAGGGAAAGTTAAACTCTCATCTCCCTCTCCCATCTCGAGGAGTCCTTGGCATTTGCACAGACTTTACGTTTGTTTTATTATCTTTTATTATTGCCTTTGCTGCTTTTGTCTAATTTGGCCGTTGTCTTTTTCCTGGCTTCCACAGCTCTTGTCGTTGCTGCCCCTCCTTTTGCTCTATATAGTACTCACCCTCCGCCTCCTGGGGTGCTAAATTGGCCGTTAAGATGCTAAAGATGCGGATTTCGGTGATTTACCAACTTCGTGGCCCCTCGTCTTCCGTTTTCGCCTTTGTTTGCTGTCCTGCCGTGCCACTTGGCTCTATTGTTTTAACCAACTTTTCAGTGATTAAGGTGGGTAAATAGGTAAATATT